CAAAAGCTCAGAGGCCAAGGAAGACCTGACACCTCAGGTAAAACTTGATGCAGTTCTTCAAGGATGAGCTATGCAGAGGGTAGGGCGTCACCTGTGCTCAACCCTCGAGTCTGCCCATGGGGGTAAGGAGAACCGTGGGGATATACCCAGACCAGAGCAGAGCATCACCACGGTCAGTGGTCTCTGGTCATTACTAATGAATGTCACAGGGGAAAGTAGAAACACCAGATGTCATATTTCAGAGCTCAGCACAATAATGGGAAGAAACCTAGGCTCTAAGCTCTGGAGTTGGGTCCTGGCGTAACAATCTCTGTGCGCTTCAGCCTCAGTTCCATTATCTGTAAAATGGGTTTGTTGATAGTACTGCCTCAGAGAACTGTCAGATAAATACCTGTCCTTGTTTCTGTTTGGTTGAATCATGAAATTGCCAACACTTGCCTGGGTTCTGATTTGTTTTGGTTTGTTTTGTTTTTGGCCACATTACACCCCCCACCCCCGCCCCAATGCGGCTGTGGTTTCTATGGGAGGGAGGACAAGGCTTCCCTCTGTGTGGGGGGAAACGGAAGCACAGGTGGAGGGTGAGCTGCCTGGGATCACTCTGGGGAGAGGAACGGGGCCAAGATACCAGTCTCTGGGCCTGTTCTGCATGCTCATTCTCCACGGTCAAGGTTCCTTTGACCACTTGAAGCTGGGTCCTCAAAGGGTAACTGTTGACACAGCAGTGTTTTTCATGCCCATGTCACTGGGAATGTTTTATTTCTAATTTTTTGAACTGCAGCCTACAGCCCTGGCTGGTGTGGCTCCATGGACAGAGTGCTGGTCTATGAACCAAAGTCGCTGGTTTGATTCCCGGTCAGGGCATATGCCTGGGTGGCAGGCCAGGTCCCCACTGGGGGTGCGTGAGAGGCAACCACACATAGATATTTCTCTCCCACCCTTTCTCTCTCCTTTCCCCTCTCTCTGAAAATAAATGCATAAATAAAGTCTTTAAATAAACTGCAGCCTACAACTATTGTGTGTGTTGGGTGAGGGGAAGAACAGTAATGAAATGTTCTCCAGTCACAAGAATTCCAAATGGAAAGGCTTTTCACTCTTCCTGAAGGATCCTTTTAAACTGATGACATTTCATTTTCCATAAAGGTTGATAATTTTATAAATTGATGTTTTATAAATCTGCTGCAAGTGGTGAGGAACAAGGAATCTGCTATCTTGCTTCCCGGCTGGGTCACTGAGGCGAGTGGCTTGCCCTCCCTGGGCCTCAGGCCCCCTCCCCTGTGAAACGTGCACAGCGGTGGCTGGGAAGCTACATTGTCCAATGGCTGACGGCATGAGCAGCGAATACACTGTTTTTAGGGATAGAGTCCCTGATACCTACATCCTCTGACAGAGATGAGCCCGTTTTTGAAGGTTCGTGAGAACGCACAGGAGCACCGCCTCGACCAGAGGACAGAAGGGGCTGCTTTTGCAGCCGGGGCGACCATGGCCTCGACCCGCGGGAGCGAGGGGACACCGCGCCCAGCAGGGGCTGCCGGGCTTGGAGCTCCAGCTCGCCCCTCGCGGCGGGAGGCGACACCACGACAAAACAGATTTTTCTTTATTCCTGGGATGTTTCCCCGCACCTGCAGGCAGGCCTAGGTGGTTCGTGGTTCGTGGTTCGAACAGGCCGCCGCCCACCTTTGTTCTTTCCTCTGCTCAGGCTGCGCCCGGCTGCAGAAAGGACCTCGGCTGCTCCCTTGATGAGGGCAGGTGCTGCGGGGGTGTCCCCGTGACTGAGCAGCTGAAAGGACAATCTGAGCACACTGCATCGCCTTGCGTCGCCAGTGGACATCCACAATGGCGTATGCTGTTTTCCTGCAACGTTCAGGTCTAGTGTTCTGATGAACTCGGGTTCCCCGTCCACCCTGGAAAAGGCAGGATCGCCTGGGCGTGGCAGGCGAGAAGATGGGGGTGGGACACTCACCGGGGGTGAGAGCGAGCACCCGCCAGCGGGCGTCCAGGGCCCGAAGCCCCACTTCTGGGTGGGAGCCCTCAGAGCCACGTGGGACGGGGATGCCCTGGGTGTCAGCAGCTGAGCACAGACCACTGAGGGCGGCCGGGTGGTGGGGAGGCCTCCTGATAAGCAGCAGCTGCAACTCGTGCGCGCGCCTGCCCTGCAGGAAGGGCCCGCCGTGGTCTGCAGCTGTGCTGGGGAGACGAGGGCGCGCACAGGTTTGTCTCAGAAGAGCCCTCTGCTCTCTTCACGATCTCCAGGGGTCGGTTGCTTTCATGCTGTCAAAGTGGAGACTCCCAACCCCGCTGCACGTGTGAGGCCACTGGGCCCACCCCCAGCTTCCCCGGCCCTCCTCGGGGGTCCTGGCGGGCAGCCAGCGCTGAGACCCCGGGCCCTGAACTCCTGCAAGTGGCATTCTCGGGGCCTGACCTGCAGGCTCCGCCAGGGCACAGGACGGCGGGTGCTCCCCAAGCCAGCTCGCTCAGCAGGGCCTGACCTTAGCCCTTGTCTGCCCCCGCGGATGGCAAGGCAGCGGAGGGGCCTGCTGGGCGGTCCGGGCGTAGTTGAGAGGGTCTGTCCAGGGGGTCCCGCACAGCCCGAGGGCTCGCCTGTGTGGGATAGAGCGCTGACCAGCTGGGGGCGACATTGTGTGAGAGGGGGCCTCCGGGCCCCTGGACAGGCCAGGTGGGAACACAGCCTTTATTCCCTGGAACTCACCAGCGTCCAGCCTCAGGGAGGGCCGCCTCCAGCAGCACAGCCCACCTGGCTGTGGGCTTCAAAGTCAGTCCAGACGGCCCCACTCGCCTGGATTCTCCTCGCAAGACTGACCGACCCTCAGAACGGCTGGCGCTTGCTGCTCTGTAACCCTGCGGCCTTCACGCCTCTCGGGTGGTTCGTGTTCCCCTCGTCACCGACCCGTCCTCCGAGAAGAGCCCCAGAGCCTCCGAGCTCCGTCCGGACACCCAGCCCGGCCACCGCTGCGCCCGAGTCAAAGCTCCACCCTCCGCCCTCTCCACCGGGCGCCAGCGGGGCTCCGGCTCGTGTCTCCCTCTGCACCCCACGCCTCCGCTGCTGGGGCACAGCAGTGGCTTGGTTCAGTGGGTCAGGTCCCACGGCAGCCCGCTGCCCTCGGCTCTGGGGTGCTGGAATTACCCAGGCTCCTGACAGGACCGCCCACAAATGCCCTGTGCCACACTGGGGCCTGGGGCTCAGGGCGCAAACCCCCGGGCGTGGAGCGGACGGGTGGGGGAACGGGCCTCGTGAGCCGCAGCCAAGCCCTCACTTCCTGATTCTCAGATGCTGTGGCTCGTGGACACACCTGCGGGCTGGCGCTGCTGCCGCGGGGAGCCGGGAGCTCAGTGGGGAGGGCAGGAGGGCAGGAGGGCAGGCCCGGGCGGCTGAGCCCTCGGGTGGCGGAGTGGGAGTGGGGCCGCCCCCAGAGGCTGTCCTGAGGGAGAAGTGCCTGCGGACAGGGCCAAGGGCAGGTGGAAGGAGGCCCAGGCACGTGGGTGCTGGGCAGGGGGGCGGGGTGGGGCGGGCAGGTGTGGAAAGCCGCCGCCACCGGGACCGGGAACCCCTCGGCACACACTTCTGCAGCCCTGGCTGGTCAGTGCTTGTGCAGCCACGCTCTGCCCGAGGCTTGTTGGCATCCGAGGAAGTCAGGATAGGTGTATAGCCAAAATCTTTTTTTCCCCACGACTGACTCAGAAAACAGAGAAGGGATTTTTCTTTCCTGGGCAAACCCGTATCAGGGAGCTGGGGAGAGGCGCCCTATCAGGTTTCTAACACCAGCCCTGCCGGGCACCGTGTTTCGGGAAAACTCAGATAACGTCAATTACGGACACCACTTCCTGTATCGTTAAGAAAGACAAGAGCGTCCTTTTGAAACTGTTGGAAGCTTTGAACTCTTCCCCCCGAAGAACAAGCACACACCCAGTCCTCAGTGACTCGATGCCTGAGCCCTGAAGTGAAGGACTTATCGAGATAAGCCAGGGACCCGCACGGCTGGCTTCCCCGTTTCAGATTTCAGGACGGGAGGGCTGGTGTTGGTCCTAAGGGAACTGGCCAATGTTCCACAGTTCTGGGACGGGTTTCCAGTGCCTCTGCTGGGGCGCAGCAGCACTGGGGCGAACTCCCACTGTGCGGGGGCAGCACCTGGGCAGACCCATACCCCCCCCCGGGGGGGGAAGGAGCGGAAAGCCTGGGATATTTCCAGGAGAACTGACATCTTAAAATTTGTGTTAACAACCCAGAAAGACGAGCTTTTGGTGGCTGAGGGTTACGTACTCTTTCTCAGCTTCAGAAGGGAAGGCATTTCCCTACGTTTATTAGAAGATCAGGTTCCCCGGGTTCCGGTGCGGCGCTCCGCCTCACGGAACCCACACCACACGGGTGTCCCGGGCTCTAGAAGGGGTCCAGGCCGGAGGGCTCCCTCACCCGTCTGCCGCAGGAGTCAGGGACAGAGGGGCACCCCAGCTCGGCACCTCGGGGCGGAGTTTTCCTGAAGCCGCAGACACAGAGGGGAGGCGGGACCCAGGCTCAGTGACACAGCTGGGGCTGGGCTCTGAGGCTCAGCAAGGCAGTCTTGGTAAGGGCCCGTGCAGGCCAAGACTGCAGCTGGAGAATCAAAGCAGGAGGGTCCCCAAATTCTGGCTTCAATGGTGGCAGGTGGGCCCCAGTGGCTGGACGCTTGGCCCCAGGGGCACCACAGTGCAGTGAAGGGCTGGCATGCGGGGCTGGGCAGGGCGGGGCAGGAAGCAGAGGCCCAGTACCAAGGGCAGGGGCTCTGCATCAGCTCTGCCCACGCAGGCCCCCTGCTCTGGGCCCTGTCCTCGCCTACAGAATGGGACCGTGATGGAGACACCCGTCCGCGGTCACTGCAAGGACGTTGGCTGTTTCCCAGCGACTGACTGGAACAGGCCTTCTCCCGGGGCCCACCCTGCAGCCCTCCCTCAGACGGACCTGGGCCCAGGGAGGCAACAGGGACATCAAGGCCCAAGAGGAGCCGCCGTCACTCTCACCCAGGTGCTCACTCGTTTCACAAACTTTATTAAAGTGCCTGCAGTGCGCTAGGCCCGGGGTGACACACAGCCCCCCCCCCCCAGGAGCTCGCTGTCCAGGGGAGGAGCAGGCTCGGGCCAGTCCCCAGGAGCCCCGTCCATGGTGGAGGGGCACACAAGGTGATGGGGGTGTGGGGTGCGGCAGAGCGAGCAGGGTGGGGGTGGGGAGGGCGGAAACCAGGCGTCCCCACGCTGGCACTCACGACCCACGGGCGCTGGAGAGCCCATCTGCTCCATGGGGCCCTTCCCAACCCCTCTCCTGGGGACCCACGCGCCCGGCTGCCGGGATGGAGGCCCCTCTCTGCTCCAGGTGCCCACGAAGACGCCGCACCGCCAGGCGTCCAGGGAGCTGGGACACGCCTCTGTCGGCACGGGCCCCAGGGCCACTCTCCCCGCCACCTCTCTCCGCTGGTCAGGCTGTTTAGCAAACCCCAGGCCCCGCCTTCGCTTTTCGGCCTTCTCACACGCGTAGGGCACCAGCCCCAGGGGGACGCCCCCCGAGCAGCGGTGCTCACAGCCGTCTGACCAGCTCGATGAGCTGCTGGATGTTTTTGTTGGGGTTCGACAGGCCATTCCTGATGTTCTCCAGCAGGCACCTCTTCAGCTCCAAGACGGCCTCGCTGTACCCCAGGCTCACGGTGGCCATGGGGGGCACCCCGTGCCACAGGCCAGGGATGTGCCAGACGTGCTGCTTCTCGGGGTCGCAGAAGGCCGCCAGCGTCCGAAGGCCGTCCCCCTGCCTGTCCCCGGGGGCGGCAGCCCGGCCCCCGTCCGCCGGCGGCTCCAGCGGCGGCCTCCTCTCCCGCGGCTTCAGGCCGGCCGCCGACGTGCCGTGCAGGTTCTGGCACACGAACTGGTAGTTGGGCGTGTGCCCCGTCTTCTCCAGCCTCAGGAAGGCGTGCACGACGGCCGGTGGGATGTCCCTCGTCTCGGCTAGACTGACCACGGAGACGTTGCTCAGCCCCATGACCAGGGTGGCCAGGGAGGCCTCCAGCTCGAAGCGCTCGCCGGCGGTGGCCGGGGCGCCCCCTATCAGCCCCCCCGAGTCTATCACCAGGATGTGGTCACAGCCCAGGTCCTGGCTGAAGCTCTCGGCCACGGTGACGAGCTGCATGAAGGCCCCCCGGGGACCGCAGCCCCTGCCCGCGGCAAACCGAAGCCCGAACATGGTGTTGAGGAGTGTGGACTTCCCCGTGCCCGGCACGCCCAGCGCCGACAGCACCACCAGCCGCGACCGCCTCCCCAGGCGCCCGTGCAGCTCCTTCAGGAGCCCCGTGACCCAGCGCAGGGGGGTGCTCAGCGTGCTCCCGTCGATCAGCTCCAGGGGCAGCCCCCGCACCAGCAGCTCCAGGGCCAGGCCCGGGAAGTGGGCAAACCGCCTCTGGCCGGCTGGCAGCTTCCCCGCCTCCACCAGGCAGCTCTCCGCCTCGTAGAACTGCGCCATCTCCCGCAGGAAGTGCTCCACCCCCAGGGGCTCCGGCCAGAGGTGCTCTCGGAGGGCCCCGGCCCCACCCTGCCTCGGCCTCAGCGCCAGAACAGTCTCCAGAGGCGGCCGCGGCCTCGACTGGGCCGCCCCCGCCAGCCCCCACTCCATCCACCTCAGGAAGTACTGCCTCTCGCCCAGGGAGGGGCAGCTGACCCCGGCGATGAACTCCTGCAGGCCCGCCGCAGGGGCGTGGCCATTCTGCTGCATGCGGAGGTCCAGCAGCCGGTGCCTCAGCTCGGCCAGGCGCTTGTCCGGAGGGTCCCCGGCCCACTGTGCCTGGCACAGCTCCTTCTCCACCCGGGCCGCCTTCCGCCACAGCTCCCCCTGCAGCCTCAGCTCCTCCCGGCGGAAGGCGTCCGCGTCTCGGATGCTCCTGGTGATCCGCTCCATCCGGCCCTTCGCCCGCTGGCACTCCTCGCAGTCCTCGTCCACCCTGAGCCCCAGCCTGCGGGCCGCGTGGGCCATGTCCTCCACCGACGCCCGTCGGCAGGGCGACCGGGCCACCTGCGCCAGGATGGAGCGGACCCTGCGCAGGAAGCGCGTGCCGTCCGTGCTGCTGACCTTCACGAGCACGTGCGAGTGGTCCATCCGCAGCACGGGGACCAGCCGGTTCAGGAAGCGCAGGTTCGAGTTCCGCTTGCCGCGGTAGGGGCTCAGGATGAAGTAGAACTTGGTGGCGGAGCCCTTCACGGAGGACAGCAGCCTGTACTCCTTCTCGCCGACGTTGTCCGTCAGGATGAACACGGCCGAGGACACTTCCGTCAGGAGCCGGAACTGCAGCCAGTGAGACCCAATGTCGCCTCGGAGGTTCAGAAAGGCCACAGGCTCCGGGAAGAGGTCCAGGTCCTCCCGGCCACTGGGCAGGAACCAGGAGATCTCCACCAGCCCGTCCGCAATCTCCCGGGCACTGCTGCCCAGGCCCAGGTCCCGGTGCCAGAAGCAGTCGCGCTGCCGGTGGCCCGGGCTGAGCAGCGCGTTGAGCAGCTGGGACTTGGAGTTGCTGCTGACCTCCATGCGCACAAAGGCGAAGGTGGGCGCCCGGGGCAGGACCACGCCGTCCTCCCAGAGGCTGCCCGCGGCCCTCGGGGGCTGTGCCCAGCACGTCCGCACGACGCCCCGCAGGGCCCACAGCAGGAAGGTGTGGGCGTGGTTCTCTGAGTCGGGCAGGACCAGCGGGAGCGCGAACTGGCAGAGGGACATCCTCAGCAGGATCTCCTGCTGCAGGAAGGCGTCAGCGGAGAGCAGCAGGGCACAGAGGAGGTCCAGGGGGTGCACGGGCGTGTCGGGGGTGGGCAGCTCTGAGAAGGAGTAGATGTCCGCGGAGATGTCGTCGGCCGAGTCCCAGTAGATGACCTCCTCCTCCATCTGGCTCTCCTTCTCCGCGGGCCGGGCGTCCGGGGGCAGGTCCAGCACCACGGTGGTGCTCCGGGCCTCGGCGTTGAGGGCCTGCAGCTTCCTGAGGCAGCTCCAGGGCAGGTCCCGGGGAGCCTGGGGAGCCCAGCTCCTCACGCTGTCGCTGCTGATCTGCAGGGCGTCCTGCAGGCCGAGCTTGCGGACCTGGTGAGTCTCCAGGCCCAGCAGTGACAGCAGCTCCTGCAGGCGGCTCCTCTCCACTGCGGAGGGAAACGGAGACATGAGTGGGTGAGTGCGGGCAGGAGCCGGGGCGTGGCACCTCAACACAGCAGGATGCAGGACCCCGGGCCACCTGAGAGCAAGATACACCCAAAGCCCACCACCCAGATGCAAACACAGGGGTCGTGTGGGTCGTTCGAGAGGACAGAGGACAGGAACCGGGGCCCCCGCAGAAGTCCGTGTGTCCGCCTCCTCTGAGGCCTGCAGGCTCCGGCAGCGCCCAGCCAGTGGGCCGGGTGGGCAGCTGTGCGCCCAGACGTGTGGGCAGCCGCTCTCCCCACCCTCACCCCCAGCACACCCTGTGCTTCTCCCGCACCCGGGCCAGCAGTGGGAGCCCTCTCCCTGCCACCAGGAATGTCCCACAGGTGACACGATCACTGAATCACTCTGATCTGCCTGTTCCTGTTCCTTTCTCTTTACAAAGTAGCCAGAGAATTCGGGAAGGAAACAGGGAGGTGTCGCCAGGTACAGAGCACTGCAGACCACAGCTACGCTGTCCGGCGAGTCTGAAGCCAATAAGGGGGTTTGGATTTGTATCGTGAAGGTCAGAGGTTATCGTAACTCTGCATGTGTGTGTTCAGCTCCTCACGCAGCGCCCAGCGCAGCACGGACACCGCCCGGCTGGCTGCTCCCTGCAGCCCCGCCCGGCCAGAGGCTGCCTCCGCCGCCCCGTCTCGGCCACGGCCTCGTACCGATCTTCCTACTACGTACGATCAGTATGCTGCACACGTGAAACAGACCAACAACGTAAACAAAGCTCCTGCCACTGTCCAGGCCTCTGTTCCTTTCTCCAAAGAGGGAGCATCGCGGCGGAGGCGCGTGGGAAGGGCCCGGGCCACCTGGCCTGGCGTCCAGCGGCACTCAGAGCCCCAGACACGCAGCCTCGCTCCCCACGGCCGCCCTCTGCCGGCCGGCCGCACCGGTGCCAGGCAGGTTCTCGGGCCGGCTGGCTGCACTCGGACCAGGAGTGGTGACCTGCTGCAGGGGCAGAAGGACTTGGGGAGAGACACTGAAGAAGAAAGTCCTCCCGCTCAGGTTTCTGAGTTTTGCCAGAATGAAACCAGGGACGCCGTCTTGTCACGCGCGGAACAACTGACTCTTCCAGTAGTGCAGCAAGCAGCTAAGTGCGATGGGGAACAGCCAGAGCAGACCGGCCGGTCCCCACCCTCATGCCCCCGGTGTGGCCCTGCGCGGGTCTGTCGGTGAGGCCGCCGGGCCAGGCACGTGGTTCTCGGGCTTCGCTGTGCTTCAGAGTCCCTGAGAGAATCTGTGAAAACCAACACCCTAGGGTGCCAACTCACTGTGCCACCGTGCGCAGTGACAGATCGAGGGGGGTTCCTCTGGCGGTGTTACTGAGGTGTGAGCTGACACAGAGCGTGAAGGCACTGCAGGTGATCGGGGGCGGCCAGGGGTGGGGACCACCAGCACAGTGCCGGCCCCCTCCCACGGACCGGACGCTGGGGCACAGGATGGGGGGGAACCGGAGGGGAGGCACCTACCCGCTGGGAAGCCGCCGTCCTGCGCCTCGTCCGCACCGTCTGCAACAGCGAAGGGCAGGGAGCGCCTCAGACCCGGCGCCCGGACGCGCTCCAGCCAGCGGAGGCCGGTCCCGAACCTGCTGTTTCCCACTCGGCAGCTGCTCAGAGGACCGACCCCCGCCAGCACTCCCCTCCCCCCAGCCTGGCCCGGCTCCCCGCTCCTCCCCACAGTCCGTCCCCCAACCCTGGGGCTCCCACCTCCGTACTGGAGCTCACGGTCGTCCCCTTCCATGTCTCTCCATCCCAGGTCTGCAAGAGAGACACAGGCCCCTCAGTGCCACCCGCAAGAGGGAGCTCCCACACGCCCAGCAACGCCGCGCCGGGCGTGTGCACCTGCACGCAGGGGAGACGCGGCCCCGAGGAGAGGCGTGACCCAGGGCAGCCTGCACGCACAGCCGTGCGCTCTCCCGCCTGCGTGGGCAGGGAGGTCCTGCAGAATGCGGCCGCGTGGCGGGCCGCCCGCCCAGGAAAGAGCCGGGCAGAGGAGGACAGCCCTGCGTGAGCCCCTCCCGGGCGGGGCCTGCGGCGGTCAGGCCACAGAGGCGGAAGCAGAGCGGTGGGCACGGCGGCGTGGGCAGGCGTGGTTTGGCGGCAGCGGGCTTCTTACTTCCAGGGCGAGCGCGGTGGCGGGAGGGCGGTGCCCACGGGCCCACCGCGACGGGAGTGTTCCCAGCGTCCCTGAACGGGACACTCAGAACGGGCCAGGATGGTGAATATTATGTGTATTTTAACAAAAAAAGAAAAAAACCTTTGGGAGAGAAAACCATTTTATAATGAATCATCCCGTGGCCGTTCACAGGCCGTTCATAGTCGCCAAGTCGTGCAATCCCACTTCCTGCCTGTCCAGTCGCAACACGTTTCCACTCCTGGAAGTCAGACTGTGCCCACGGAGGAACTCTCCCCGCCACCCCCTCCAGCCCCTGCAGTGGCCCCTGCCCCATTTCCCACGGCAGCTGCACCTTTTCACGGGCCTGAGGCTCCAGTCCTGCCGCAGCCTGGCCAGCGTGGGGTTTTTGTTGCTTCGACAGTAGTCACTACAGTGGGTGTGAGGTCATAACTCACTGAGTAAATGTGTGCTTGTATTAATAAGACAAAAAAGTGATTAACCCAAACTTATCTGCCTATTTGGTGGAGTTATTGTGCATAACATTATTACTAGCCAATGGAACACATTCATTTGGAGAGGCACCAAATTACTGACAGGTGCACCCAAAATGAGGGACTGAGAGAAACTAGGGGGACGCCTGGAGGTGGCCACACCTTACAGCTGGAGTCACGAGGGGCAGCTGCCACTGCAGCAACCTCCAGAGAAAGAACAACCAGCTTATGGGGACCATGACCAAAAAGACCACAGGCCCCAGTCTGCCAGGGCAGTTCCAGTCTGCACCTGTGGCCCCCACAAAACACAGCGGCCCCTCTCAGCCGTGCCCAGGGCGGGAGCCAGACAGTCACCTGGGCAAGTGTTTTGACGCTCAGATGGCAGGGAAGTGTCCCGGTGGGACTGCCACCTGCTTGACACGGAGCCCCATCTGGAACAATGTGCAGGGGAGTCTTCAAAGACCCCTACACGGAAATGCTTGTGAAAGGAGCAGCAAAGCCTTAGGCTTCTTGGGTTTTCGGTCTGCGCTCCCCGGGCCGGGGTGGGGCTGGGGGATGCAGCGCCCCTGCCGTGGAGAGGGCCCGAGCCCAGGCTTACCTGCACCGGCCACCGCCGCTGGTCTCTCAGGGGCTTTTATTTCTGGGGCCACTTCTGCCAAATCTGGCTGTCTGAGACAATTTCAGAAGAACATTATAATTAAAATAATGAAATACCACTTTCTCCTTTCAAACTGACATCATATCAAAATCTCGTGGGGAGCCGTTCAAAACTAGAAATCCTCGTCGCAGCCCAGAGCCCTGCCACCAGAACCTCAGAGGCTCCGAGGCCCGGCCTGGAGTCGCTGCTTCTGAAGGGGCCGCGGTGGGTCTGGGGCACGGCCACGCAGAGCAAACGCCAGCCCCCCAGGAGCGACCGGCCGGGACACAGACACAGCCATCCAGACAGACACGAAGATATACCTACCCTCTGACCAGTAACTCCACTTCCGCCCTAGGAAAACAATTAAGATTTCGTTACAAAGATGTAGATGCCAGCTTCACACATCACAGCAAGAAACTAGACACATTTCAAAATCAAAGTCCAGTAACAGGGAGTTCTGCTACAGTCGTACTCCGCAGCCACCACGACACGCTCCGAGGGCCTCACCTCGCAGACCGAGGCAGGCTGGCTGTCGGGGTGGCCGGGCCAGGCGCCCGAGCAACGCCGCCCCGGGCGGCGCGTCGGCAGGGGGCGAGCGGACCCAGTGAGCGGCAGGGATGGTCCCGGACTCCGCTCAGCGGGTTAGAGGAGCACGCGCAGTCCACTTCGGGAGCCACTGCTCGAGGCGCGTCCCCGGAGGCGTGAGCACGGCCCCGAGGGCGAGGAGCGGGGGTCAGACGGTGCGCTCGTGTGCACGCGTGTGTGCACGCACACGGACTTCCTGGCTCTGGCCCCTTGAGAGGGCCCCAGAAGCGCCCTTTAAAGCCTTCGCTACGAGACAGCAGGTCTCCGTGGGGAAACGGCTGAGGCCAGGCCTGGTGCAGGGAACGAACCACACCGTGCTCGGACAGGGCAGGTCGCCGGACACAGCGGCCAGCGCGAGGGGTCCCGCTGTCTCCTCTGGGAGGACGGGAGCGGGGACGACACCGAGCGCAGTGACAGGCAGAAGCCGCTGAGGGCGGGAAGCACGGGGGCGAGCAGACACTGCACAGACGAAGGAGTCGGGGAGCGGGCCGGGCCTCGTCCTGGCAGAAGGGCCCCGGCGCCACGGCGGCTGGGACGGCACCACCTGCGACCGTCTCCACCAGGACACACCGACCAGCACCGCGCCGCGGGCAGAAACGCGAGCGGGGAACAAGGTCTTAGTGGGTCTTCACACGTCTCCTCACCGGCTGCTTCCCGGGTGCGGGGAGCAGACCAGCAGCTCTGCCGCAGTGGGGGGTCGAAGCCAGGGACCGTGGGGGCAGAGGGCCATCGTGTGGCCCCCACCCTGAGGAAGGACCCACGTGGTCTGCAGGGATCCCGCTGAGAACGCAGAACCTGGACGGATCATGTGGACAAACCCAAAATGAAACTTCAGGCTACATGGGAGAGCACTGTACTTTCCCAAAGTGTGAATATCGTCACAAATGAAAAGAGTGGGGAGAGGTCCTACATTAAGACGTGGATGAGACAGGAAAACGAGGTGCCACCCCTCACCCCAGACCGGACCTGGGAGCCCAGGGACAAACTCCGGGCCCACTGGCCACACTGCAGCACGGGTTTTGTCCACGCCGAGTTCACGCACAGCGGTGACGGTGCCACGGCTACGAAACAGCATCTCCGCTCTCAGCACACAGACGCCGAGGGCTGAAGGGTACAACAGGGGGAGGAGGTGGGCGGCTTACTCTGTGAGGCTTCAGGAAAATGGCATGCGTGTGCTGTGCACTCACGTGTGCGTGTGCACACCTACACACACAGAGACGGCACGGGAAAGAATGAGGAATGAGAATAGTAAATGAGCTGAAATGCCAAGAACAGGGGAACTTTCATTTTCATAGTTGATCTCTCAGCACAAATTGTTGCTAAATAAGAAGTTTTAAAAGCTAATGGTGGCTAGTTACCTCTGGGTGGCATACCAGTTTATTGTCCTACATGAAGTCTTAGAAGTGGCAGAAGCACATATTTAACGAGACCAAAAGGGCTGTGAGAACAATGCTGCGAGTGGGGAGTCAGGGCCACGGTAGGATCTGGGGGCCTCGTGGAACCCAAAAGCCAGGGGCCCCTTCGAGCCACGGTCCGCGGTAGCTGGGAGCAGGTCGTTCCACGACGAGCGATCCGGCTCCGCTCACTTCACCAGCAGGACAAACTGTTCACCCAGCCCCCCGACCCCCCAGACCTCGCTCGCTGTTCCCCGAGTTCCTGGGGCCCCACCCTCGGCCCTCTCCGAGGAGAGGCCCATCGCCCTGGCGGCACTCTGAACATGGCTGTTCCGTCGCTGTCCTGCAGAGCGCTAAGAGCTCCGACTGCATCTGGGCCCACTGCCGACAGAAACAGGGGTTTAGCCCTGGCTACCGTGACTCAGTGGGCGGAGAGCTGGGCTGCGAACCAAAGGGCCGCCGTGCGATTCCCAGTCAGGGCACGTGCCTGGGTTGTGGGGTGTGAGAGGCAACCACACATTGATGCTTCTCTCTGTCCCTTCCTCCCTCCCTCCCCCTCTCTGAAAATAAATAAATAAAACCTCAAAAAGACCTGCCACTTCCCCTCCGGCTCCACATCTGGGACCCAAAACAAAACAAAACCCAAAGCCAGTTACTCCGCCCACAAAGCCTCAGGTTCCTACAAACACTTTCTTTTCTCTCTTTTTTTTTTTAAAGATACCTTCAGAGAGTTTTTTTAAATATTTTATTTTATTTATTTTTAGAGCGGGAAGGGAGGGAGGGAGAGAGAAAGAGAGAGAAACATCAATGTGCGGTTGCTGGGGGTCATGGCCTGCAGCCCAGGCATGTGCCCTGACTGGGAATCAAACCTGCGACCCTTTGGTTCGCAGTCCAAGCTCAATCCACTGAGCTATGCCAGCCAGGGCCCTACAAACACTTTCAAATCCTCCCAAACACGTGCGCCCGTCCCAGCCCAGTGCTGTGGACGGGGCCTCATTCGGAATTCCGTAAACGAAGATGAGGTAACACGGGGATCGAGCAGCGCAGGGCCAGGGCCGGTACCCTTGGAAGAGGAGCATCTGGAGAGACTGGGGAGGCCGGGCCGCAGTGACGCGTCTACAATGCAAGGACACTGGGCACTCGGGGAGGCACAGGTGCCCTCAGGGCTCCCAGAAGGAACCAGCCGAGGACCCTGAGGTCTGGACTCCTGGCACCAGCACGGCCAGGGGAGAGACGGCCTTGCTCTAGCCCCCGTGGGGGTGCGGCCCCGGCACCCGGCGGACGACACAGTGCCGGTGGCTCTGGACAGCGGAGCCGCCGGCCGCCCTCCCGAGGGCCGCCCTCCCGTGGGCTCTCCCCTCGGGCGTCTGTCTGTCCTCTGCGTCCTCTGAGGATGCCAGTCCCTGGATTCAGGCCCAGTCTTTACGAGGCAGGAGCGAAGACACGGAGTGCAGTGAACGGGGTGCTCCCAGCAGGCCTCCCGGAGCAGGGCGCCTGCCCACACGGGCTGGGCGGGAGGCGCGCCCACCAGCCACACAGCTCTCCAGGGACCGAGACCCAGGCAGAGGTGCAGGCCAGGCCCCGGGGGGCTGGGTTGCAGTGGGCAGCAGGGAGGCCGTGGGAGGGCAGGGGAGACAGGGCTGCTGGGCCAGGAGAAAGGACAGGCTCTGGTTCCCAGGACGCCCTGAGTGCAGGGCGACACGGCCGCCCCGTGCTGACGGCAGACGGTGACGAGGGTCAGGCTGGGGGGCAGCACGCACAGTGGCAGCAGGGGGCCGGGCTCTGAGGTCTCTGCGAAGGGCTTCAACGGACTGGCCACGGCGTGTGAGGGCGGCGGAGTGCAGGGACCTCCAGGTGCTGGGCCCCAGGGGCCGCACCGCCTCAGCCGGGAGGGCTGAGAGGGGCAGGGGCCGCCGACATGGGGTGCCCACGCTGCTGCGCAGACGCAGGGCTGGACGGGGCTCGCCGCAGGGCCCAGGGCCAGCGCCCTCCACCGCGCGCCGCTCAGACCACAGTCGGCTCCTTCCCCAGAGACAGACCCTCCGCCCTCAACAAGGGCAGCACTGACCCGCTGTGCATCCACAGAAAGACCCGAAAACCCAAGACGGACTGGAAAGCAACAGCAAACAGTGGGGACAGACTGCTGGGGGCGCCCGGCGCCTCCCTGCCCACGAGCAGCCGGTCAGACACAGGGAGACCCCCACTGGCGGCGTCCACAAGGGGCATGCGGGCACAGGCTGCAGCCGCGAGACATCCCCAGGAAAAGACCCCCCAACGCCACAGAGCCAGAGGCTGCGACGAACAAACAGGCAGGCTGTTTGGGGAAAAGAGGGCTGGATGTAAGTTTTGAAGACAATTCTCCCTCAATTAACCTATAAGTGAATTTAGGTTGAAAAATTCACTTATAGATAAGCTGATTCTATGGAAAAAATATCTGCACAACAATTGTCAGGAAAATTCTGGAAGAGAACAGTAATGAAGGAGGAAAACGCCTGCCCGACAGGGACTCGCGGCCAGGCTCCCGCCCGGCCTGGTCTGCAGACACGGCCCCGGCCCCGGCCCCGGCCCCAGGGAGGAGGCCCAGAAATGAGCCCAGCGTAGCCCAGGGCCTGGGGGTGTGCCCACTGCAGCCACCTGCAGAAATGGAGGTGACCCCTAGTACTCCCTTCACCAGGACGAACACCAAATGAGCCTACGGGTCAAATTAGAAAATGAAACAACAACAAAAAAACGCTGAAAGGAAATAGTAAAGACTTTAAAAATCCTCCCTGGCTGGTGTGGCTCAGCGGACTGAGCGCCAGCCTGAGGACGGAAATGTCGCCGGTTCGATTCCCCATCAGGGCACAGGACGGGGTTGTGGGCCAGATCGCTGGTAGGGGGCATGCGAGAGGTTGCACAGCGATGTTTCTCTCCCTCTCTTTCTCTCTCCCTTCCCCTCTCTAAAAATAAATCAATACAATCTTTTCTAAAAAGTCTCAGAGTAGCATCAAGTCAAAAGGGAAAACGCCAGAAGGATGGAGACCACTCGTGACCCAGGTGACCAGAGGCTCACTCCCTCGGTGCTCCCAGAGGGGCGCACCCGTGAGGAGCCGAGGGCCGCTCCGCCACGCGTTTAGGGTCAGCACGAAACAAGGACGCGGCACCCCACTGTGCCTGCCACCTGGGGGTTACCGTCTCCGTAGGGAGCAGGGTGCAAGGCCCTGATCTTTCATTCCAGTCCCTTCTATACCTTTGTAACCAGGCATGGAAATGTGACCCAGGCATGGGCATTGCTTCTTTTTAAACTACCAATGTTATAAAAAGCTACATTGTAGAGCCCTGGCCGGGTGGCTCAGTTGGTTGGAGCGTTGTCCTGTAACACCAAACGGCTGCAGATTTAACTCGTGGTCAGGGCCGCACCTGGGCCGTGGGTTCAACCCCAGGGCCAGGGGCGTCCGGGAGGCAAGCCATCGGAGTTTATGTCTCACATCCACGTTCTCACTCTTCCTCAAAAAAAAAAAAATTCAATAGAAACATATCCTTGTGTGAGGACTAAAAAAAGGCTACAATTTAAAGAGAACTCACAGCAACAGAACCCACGACCACCACCTGCAGGTCTGGACTGCAAGGGAAAAGGCCTCCCTGACAGGCAGGTGGGCCCGGGACAGCACCACCTAGACCGGAACCCTTCCTTCAAGGAAATGGACACTTCTAAGTTGTTTCCTCATTTTCAGGCATCTTTTGTAAAACCACAGCCAGCGGGGCAACTGCTCTGCTGACACCACTTCTGGCGGCGACGAGCAGCGAGAGCACATCCTGACCTCAGCGTCCGGCCGAGCGCGCAGGGGTGGGGGGCACCGCGGGTGCTCAGCGGTCAGGGCGAAGTGCAGAGTCCAACAGTCCCGCGTGCGCCTCAGCAGCTGAGCTCCAACCCGCCATCCTCAATGGGGACGATTTACGTCAAGTTTCCACTCAGACTCGTGGCTGGGCCTCAGTTTCCTGACCTGCACCATGGGGAAAGGACAGGGCTTCCCGACTGATGGGCGGCTGTGGAGACTCGGTGACCTGACATGTGCAAAGCACTTGGAACGGACTCCACAACACACTCCCCGGAAGCAGGCTCAGAGGCCCCTCCGGACGCAGCCCAGCAGAGACCCCACCGCCTGCCAGGACCCCGGTCTGCTGGTAGGCTGACGCACAGGGGCCAGAGGGCCTCCGAAAGCCAGGCCCAGAGGTGTGGACTGTCCCCAAACCTGTAGAGAGCATGAGAGCATCGTTCTCTCTACGAAGCGACATCAAGTATACTAAAGAATTCGTGACCTCAGCTTTGCAGGGGGTACCCCTCAGAAAATGACAGGTTTATGCCAGGGTCAGACTCATGGGGTTATTCGCAAACCGCTGGAACTTCAGGTATCAAGTCTGTGCCAATGCCACCTTCCACGGGGACACCGTTTGGGGCCTGCTCCCTCACAGGACACAGCAGCCCGGGGCTAGGTCCACTTCCGACAGGCCCACGCAGCAGTGAGCTCGGATGCCAAATGCACCCTCACTGTTCAAAAGGCCTCAGGGCTTCCTCACGCAGGCTCAGCCCCCTGCCTGCTGCCTCACCCTCGGGGCTGCACGCAGCGGGACCTTGGCCCCTGGGTGAATCAGCCCGCATGTGAGGGATGGGCCCTTGTTTATTCTATTTATGAGCTCAAAGTACTGGGTAGTCTGACCGCTGCTGCCCAAGCCTAGAAAGGCAGCCAGTGGGTGGGAAATGCCATGACAGCTAGCGTCAGACCCAGCTGCTGTCCCCACAGCCACCTCCACCTGCTGGGAGGCGGGGGGAGGGGCGGCCTGAAGCCCCTCGCACCCGGCAGGTCTACACCCTCTCGAGGCGGACCGCGGCCAAACGGGGCGTTTCACCAATTGCAGCGGTGACCTTGAGTCCAGTTTCCCTCCCCTGGGCCGCGGAGGAAGAGCTGGACTGTCGTTCCCGGCTGTCATGACTACTTCAATTACCAAAATAAAAAGTAATCGTAATGAATTAATGAGGTTTTATTTTGCAAGTAGGATATTTTAAAAATTGCGAACTCTGCCTGGCATCATCGTTTCCTAGAAGAAGGAACGGTTAACACCGAGACGACATTAGGGAGTGAGGTCAGAACGGAGCACCCGCCCCAGCAGGCCCGCGGCCGCCGGGGCCCAGGGGGCGCCAGGGGTGCTGGGCGCGCGCGCGTCTCCCCGCCCTCGCCCCTGCCCCTCGGGCGTCTGGGCCGCTTCCGGGCGGCGGGCCGAGCCGACCACTGGCAGGCCCGCCCCGGGGGCGCGCTCTCCTCCCCTCCCCCGCGCGGCCCGGCCCGGCCCGGCCCGCCCGGCCCCGCGGCGCATCCGCCCAAGGTCGGCCAGAGGGGGCCGCGGGGCCCGGCGGGCGGAGGCCCGGGAGGGGAGCGCGCCCCCGCCCCGCGCCCTCTCCCTCCCCGGCCCGGCAGAGGCCCCGGCGGCGCCCGAGCGCCGCACTCACCCGGGCGACGCCATGAGCGCGGCGAGGTCTCCGCGCTGCCGCCGCCGCCGCCGCCGCCGCCTCCGCTTCCTCCGCCGCGGGCTCGGGGAGGGGCCTCGCCGGCCACCGGCTGCCCGCCGGGCGCTGCGGGCGGCGGGGCGGGGCGGGGCGGGGGCGCGGGGTGGGGCCGAAGTGGGGGGCGAGCGAGGAGGCGCAAACCCGAGAGGAGAGGACCCGGGCTGGGAAGGGGTTTGGGGAGCCGGCAGTGGAGTGAGAGAGGTCGCATAATTTCTTTAAATTAATGTTTTTGGTTTTAAGATAGAGTTTAAAATAATTAGTAATATCAGTTCCCTGAAACAGAAACATGAGCGCCAGTGGGTGCGTGGCATCCCACCGTGCGGTGGGCTCTCGTCCGTGTGGCCAGCCCCTCGTGCGCGACTCAGGATCCTGAAGCCCGTGGACGGCGAGCGTCCTCGTAGCCGAAACCTCCCCACGTGCCCGATCATTTCCTTAAGCCAAGTTTCTCGAGTTGAACGTCTCGGGCAGGTGATACCAGTGTTTTTAAATCCTTTCCGACACAGGCGTCTCTGAACAACACAAACACGGGCACACGTTATGTACCCGTGCACACACACCCCTGCGTAGGTGCCTACCACACACACCGCTCTCCCAGCACGGGCGCCAACACTGAGCAGGGGCCACCTTCCCAAAACCCTCCATAGATTTCACATCTTTCCTTATCATGGCCTATTTGATGGGTCAAAACCCAGTATTCCGCAAAATGGCAGAGTGGGTGCCGCGCTCTCATTTTAGGGGCTTTGAAACCCAAAGTTTTACAGCAACCGAGCAAACAACTCAAGCAAGAAAGAGCCGTCTTCGAACTGGCAGGAGATTCTCCAGCGTCTTTGCGTGCTCTTGCCCCCCCCCTCCCCAGTGCGGTAGTTGACGGCCCTGGCCTAGAACAGGCTGCCCCCCCCCTGCTCCCTCTGGTTCAAGACGGTGGGGGTGTGGCACTGGGCAACCCGATGGGGAACAGGCTTGGGAAGCCCAGGGAAGGCCAGTTCCACCTGGAAGAGCTTCACCATTGGTGGGCAGGGGAGTCACCACAGGACCATCCTCTGCTTTTGAAAGGGTCACGGTGTTCTGGTTCCTGGTAACCCAGGTTCTTTGCTGGGGGGCACGGGGATAAGTGGGGAGGGAGCAACTTTGGTTCTGGTTGCAGCTGGAAGGACATTTAAAAGAATAGCAAAATGGCAGTAAGTTCTTTCTCATCAGCAATTATTTTAACTGTAAATAGGTTACATCGTACAATCAAAAGGCAGAGATTGGCAGAATTGACTTTTTTTTAAATTAAGGTTTTATTTATTTATTTTTAGAGAGAGGGGAAGGGAAAAAGAAAGAAGAAAGAGTGGGAGAGAAGCATCAGTGTGTGGTTGCCACTCACATGTACCCAACTGGGGACCTGGCCTGCAACCCAGGCATGCGCCCTGACTGGGAATCAAACCAGTGACCTTTTGGTTTGCAGGCTGTCACTCAATCCACTGAGCCATACCAGCAAGGGCTGAATTTTTTGTTATTTCAATTTCTGGCTGTGTCTCTAGCACATAGAAATATGGCTGATGTCTACTACTCATCACAGCTACTAGAACTGGGAGTAGTTCTAGGAGCTGTTTGTAATCTCCCTCAGGTTTTGTGTGGGGACAAGCATGTCATCTGTGAATAAAGACATTTTTATTTCTTTCCCCTCTCTGCCTTTTCATTTTTCCCCTGCCTTACAGACATGGCTAGAGCCTCCAGTACAGTGTGGGGCAGTAGCAGTGAGAGCAAACCTGCTTCATTCCTGATCCCAGCTGGGGAAAGCATGCAGCCCCTCATTATTGTTGGGGACTGGGTGTTTCTTTCCCCTAAGTTCAGACAGTGAAGCCCTGACCTCTAGTGTGGCTATACTGGGAGACGGGGCCTCTGGGAAATAATTAAGGTTCGATGAGGTCCCATAGGACCAGTGCCCTTACAAGAGACACCAGAGAGCCAGCACTCTGCCGCCCACCACTCCCTGTGCACGTGCACCAAGGAGAGACTGCGTGGACCCAAAGTGAGAAAAGTGCTGTGCACGCAGCCAGGAGAGAACCCTCACCAGAAACCATGGCGGACAAAACCCTGCTCTTGGACTTCCGCCCTCCAGAGCTCTGAGGAGCAAGCGCCACCGTACAGTCCCCAGTCGGTGGTGTTCTTACAGAAGTCACAGCAAACTGCTCAAGTTCCTCTGGCTCGGGGCTTTCAGGGGATGGCAGTCACTCTGTCAGCCAGGGTCATCTCAATGCGTGAGCGGGGAAGGGTTTGCTTCCAAGCTCGTTCAAACCGTGGCAACAGGATTGGGTTCTGAGGGTCTCGGACTGAAGGCCTCAGTCTTTCCCAGCTGTTTCCGGAGGCCGTGACCCATTCCGTGCTGCAGGGCATCTGCAGAGGGCAGCGCACAGCACGGCCATGGGCTCCCGTCAGGGAGGAAGAGAAGAGAAGTGGCCGAAAGGGGAAGCCAGTCTTCCCTGTACCCTCATCCGAGGAGTGACATCTCATCACCTTTCCTGACCACTAGAAATACCACTACACCCAGCCCCACTCAGGGAGAGGAGATTCCACAGGGGCCTGAGCATGAGGAGATGGGAGGGCTGGGGCCACCCCAGAGGCCCCCTCACCACCTCTCAATGACCAGGTGAGAGACAGGTGGAGCGACACAGGTGGGACGACACAGACAGCACGAGTACCCAGGAGTCCATACTTACATAAACAACATAACTGCATGGGGGAGAAAGGGCAGCTCTGTCTTTCAGTAACATGTCACTTAACAAATGTAGCAAGTAAATTAGAAATAGGAAGTGACCACCTGGTAAATATCACGTTAATCACTGCTGTAGGCAAGAATGGCGTCTAAAATTAGTGGGTGTAAGTATGACAAAAAATAAGATATTTACTGCCCTGGCTGGTGTGGCTGTGGACTGAGCGCTGGCCTGAAAACCAAAGGGTTGCCGGTTCAATTCCCAGTCAGGGCACATGCCTGGGTTTCCAATCAACTCCCTGGTGGGGGGGGGGGTGGTGTGAGAGATAACCACACATTAATGTTTCTCTCTCCCTCCCTTCCCCTCTCTAAAACTAAATTTAAAAAATCTTAAAAAAAAGATATTTATTAGTACAAGTCTCGAAGTTTCTCCCCACAAGCTACTTATTTAAAATGAGATTTGTAAAACTTTACAATGGAGAAATCTGAGAAATACCAACAAGGTGGTCAGACTTGCCCAGCCATACTTGTCAATGCCGTGCACCCTCTGAACCGCCTGACGCAGCGAGAAGGGCGCTCGTCACTGCGGCCACAGTCTCCTGCAGACACCTGACTCCAATCTCCTCAACCAGAACACCCAGATGGAGGGACATGCTACAAAATGACTTTCCAATACTTCAGAAGTGTCAAAAGACAAAGAAACAGTAACAAATTGTTTAACATTGCAGGAGGCTAAAGTGGCAGGAGGAACAAACGCACACGGGATCCTCAGTCGGATCCTGCGCTGAGAAAGGACGCAGTGAGGTAGTGAGGTTGGAATGAGGTCTGTAAACTGTCCGTAGCACGGTACAGATGTTAATGTTCTGGATAATTCTGTTACAGTCCTACAATACAGTGTTGTGTCAGTGAACTGGGTAAAGGGTGTGTGTACAAGAACTCTGTGCATTCTTGTCCTTACCTTTGAAAGAGCTTTACAGGCAGAAAATTTTCCCGCGAGCAATCGCTGATTATTCCCCGACTCCCTCGGCCCCAGGCAACCACTAAACTATCTTCTGTCTTTATAGAGTTGCCTATGCTGAACATTTCATATAAATGGAATCATACAATATTTGATCTTTGCATAATGTTTTCAAGGTTTATCCCCTGTTATATATTGAAGTGTGTCTCCCCTCCCAAAAAGAGATTTGGACATCCTAATGCCCAGTATCTGTGAATGTGAATTTATTTGAAAATTGGGTCTTTGCAGAGAGCCAGGTAAGACGAGGTAATTCGGGAAGGGTCTAACCCAACGTGACCGAGTTCTTATAAAAAAGGGGAGCCTGGACACAGAGACAGATGTGAAGATGACCTGAGGACACAGGAAGAACACAGTCTACAAGCCCAGGAATGCCTGAGGCCCAGAAGCTGAGAGGCTTTCAGGATCCTCCCTCCCAGCCCTCGGAGGGGCCAACCCTGCCAACACCTTGATTCAGACTTCTAGCCTCCAAACTGTGAGATGACATCTTTCTGTTAGGCCACAGTTTGTGATACTTGGTTATGACGACCCCAGTGACCCCATATGTCCATGCTGTAGTGGAACTTTATTCCTTCTTATTGCCAAAAAGATCCCATTGTGTGAATATATCACATTCTTGTTTATCCAGTCAACATTTGGGTTGTTTTGACCTTCTTGACTAGAATGAAAAATGCACCTTACAAACACACGTGTTTAAGTTTCTGTGTGGACATGTTTCATTTTCTCTTGGGTATATACCTAAGAATGGAACTGCTAGGTCATACAATTCTGTTTAACTTTTTAAGGAACTGCCAAACTTTTCTGAAGCAGCTGCACCACTTTGCATTCCCACCAGTGAAAGTGTGAGGGCTCCTCTCTGCATCCTCAGCAAAACTGCAGTTGTCTGTCCTTCGGATTACAGCCATGATAGAGGATGTGAAGTTGTATCTAACTGTGGCTTTGATTTCCATTTCCCTAGTGGCTAATGAAGTTGACCTTTTTTGTTTAATGTACTTAATCACTATTTTCTTTGAAGAAATTTCCATTCAGATCCTTTGCCCAGTTTTTGTTTTTTGGGGGTTTTTTTTTTGGTTTTTTAGTTCTAAGAGTTCCATTAAGTATTCTGGTCACCAAACCCTTATCAAATACATCATTTGCAAATGCCTGCTCCTGTTCTATGGAGTTTTTCTGCTTCCTTGATGGTGCAGTTTAAAGCACAAAAGTTTTAATTTTTTTTGAAGTCCAATTTATCAATTTTAAAATCTTTTTTAATATTTGAAACAGTTTGGTACATCTAAAATTACTTCCAGCCCTGGCCAGATAGCTCAGTTGGTTAGAGTGTCGTTCCAGTTGCCCAGGTTGCAGGTTGGTGCCCTGTCAGGGCACATACAAGAAGCAACCCATAGCCCTGGCTGGGTTGCTCAGCTGTTTAGAGCATCGTCCCAATACACCTGGGTCCTGGCTTCCATCTTCAGCCAGGGGCACGTGCAAGGAGCAACCTATGAATGCATGGGTGCATAGAGCAACAGATCAGTGGGTTCCCCCCTTCCTCTCTCTCCCTCTCTAAAATCAATACATTAAAAAAGATTTAAGAAGCAACCAAAGAATGCATAAGTGGAACAACAAATCTGTTTCTCCTCCTCTCTCTAAAAAAAAATCAGTAGAAACTCTTTTTAAATAAAATTATTTCAAAATAAAACACTATGCCTGGCTGGCGTAGCTCAGTGGATTGAGCACAGGCTGCAAACCAAAGCATCACAGTTTCGATTCCCAGTCAGGGCACATGCCTGGGTTGCAGGCCACGGCCCCACAGCAATCACACATTGATGTTTCTCTCTCTCTCTCTCTCTCTCTCTCTCTCTCTCTCTCTCCCCCCTTCTCTCTCTAAAAATAAATAAATAAAATATTTTTAAAAGATTAAAAAAGAAATAGATTTAAAAAATAAAACACTATGTATTAAAAGTTTAGAGAAATATGCACTAGACTACCAACAGAAAGTAGAAATGAAATTTTCGTTGTTATTCAACACAAATTTCTTTCCTTTCTCTGTGTTAACCAAGTGTCGCAAATTCTCTGAGTAAATTTTGGAAGTTAACATCATTAGTAAAGTTACCATCCGGAGATAACCATCATTGAAATTGAGGTCTGTGTTCAACAGGAATATGTAAACACATGGAAATGTAGGATCATTTGTTCCACGGGGCACAGCTGTGCAAACAAAGTATGTATGATGAGTCACGACAGACAGGAATCTGTGTTGCACAGTAACGAGGAAAGGAGCTCTATCAGAGCCATTGGGGTGGGCGGGTAACGCTTGAACTGGGTTTGCAAGGTGAGTGATGGCTCCGCTTTAGGGGAAAAAAAGAGGGGCTTTCCAGACAGAGGGCAGCCGCGAATGAAGGAATGCAGTGGGGGCAGTGACAGAAACGTTGATAGCTTCCTAGCCTGGCAGGACAATACTGCTGCCGAAGGGCCTCAGATGCCAGTGGATGCGACCCTTGCAGGCCACGGGGCATCCTTGCAGTTTTGGGCAGGGATGTGTCATGGTAAGACGTACCTTTTAGAGGGACAGTTCACAAAGGTGTGTGTAAGAGAGGCTGGCGGAATGAGAGAATGGAAGCCAGGGACTTGGCCAGCGGCCCATGGACATGTCTGGACCTTGAGTACACACATGTAGGTGACCACATGTCCTGTTTGGCCAGGGGCAGCCTCAGAGCACACCTCTGGTCCTAGTGTAGTTACATTGCACCTCACTTCAGTCTCAAAGTGTCTAAGTTCGGAAGATAACTATCTACACTCGTACAGAATAGAACTTCCAAAATCTTTACAACGTGAGACCCACTGATTTTTGTACTCTATTTTGTATTTATGTTTTAAAAGGTTCTATAGTGTGTGGTTGCCTTGCACGCCCCCTGCTGGAGACCTGGCCCTCCACCCGGGCTTGTGCGCTGACTGGGAACTGAACCGGTGGCCCTTTGGTTCGCATGCCTGCGCTCAACCCACTGAGCCACATCCACCAGGGATTGCTTTTTGTTTATTATTTATTTATTTATTTATTTATCTTTTTCTTTTTTAATGTTGGTTGCAACACATTGCACTTACTTCGTGACACACTAATTGTTCCTAACCCAGTTCGTAAAGCTCAGTCCTGCATGCCTGCAGGTGATGGGAAAAGGGAACGAGGACAGAGACCTAAGATCGGATATGGTGGGTTCACGGCCGCACCAAAATCATCTGCACAGGGCTGGAAACGCGCATCTCCAGGCTCGCGGAGCACTCCGCGGAGTTCCTTGCGTTTCCATGGAAACAGCTGGGATACATTTGACACCTACCACTTAAAAGGCTGTGAATACTTACAAACTGAAGTTCAAGGCAGGGCTGAGAACCACTACGTGACAGCCGGGTAGGGTGCCCAGAAGTGGGCACCGAGAGCACAGCTGCCGCCCCGGTACTCCCCACCCACCTCCCCCCGCGCGCAGGCCGCAGCTCCACAGTGCCCCGCGGCGCCCCCAGGCGGACGCCGGCCCACAGTGCCCCGCGGCGCCCGCGCTCGGGGGCCGTTCCCTCCAGCAGCGCTGCGCGGCGGCGGCGGCGGCGGCGGCGGAGGCGGCAACGGGCAGCCTCTGGCAGCCCTGAGCCGGCCGGCCGGTCCCCGGCAGCAGGGAAAGAATGGCGCTGAAGCGGATCCAGAAGGTCAGGAGCCCTCCGGTCCTCAAGCTCCTTGCGTCTGAAGCCTCGTTCGCGGGCCGGTCGGTCACAGCCGTCCAGCGACCGTTGGCAGAGGTGCCACCGAAGGAGGCGGGACCGCCGCCGGCCCAGCCCTAAGGGGGCGGGGCTAGGGCCGTGGCCCGGGGGTTCCGCGGGTGGGGGCGCCGTCTGTTTACGCCCAACTTGCGGGTACCTCCCTGGGCAGGGCACAAACTAGAGCAGCCAATGAATACACAGATAAGTGGGACTGCAAATCGACGTTTCTCTCTCGTACCCCCCCTTCTCTCACTTCCTCTTTCCCTCCGCCCCCCCCATAAATAAGTAAATAAATAAATAAATAAATTTTAAAACCGTTTAGCGTGCGGGCGAGGCGGGGCCAGCATCCCCCGGTGCTCGCGTCCCGCTGGGGGCGGGGCCTGCGTCACGTGGCGCCGGCGTACGTGGGGCGGGCTCGGAGGGGTGGGGCCAGCGGGCTGGCGCCCCGCTTTTCTGCACTTCAGTCATTGTCCCCTTTAAGGCAAGCGCGGGAATGTTTGGATCTGTATTTTTCAAATCATAGTGCGCTTCCTAAAAATCCCAGTTAGCATTTGAAACTCCTCCGTGCTGGGTGGAGTCTATCAAGACTCACAGTCTTTCAGGAAGCCCCATCTTAATAACCACTCACCACACCCCTAAAGAGCGACACGCGATCTAAGGACGGGACAGCCCATGCACACGCGCAGAGGGGTGGGGTAACCTGCTGAGCCCAGGTCCTGCTCTGCGTGTAGTCTGTCCAGGATTTTCCCTGACAGCCCTCCTGTCAGCATTGCACGTAGTGGGGCGCGGGGGGGGGGGGCGGCGGGGGGGCGTGCTGAGGTCTGTAGCCGCCCTGCATCTATAAGCCGTCCTCTGGCCCCCTCATGTGACTAGTTGTTGCCCAAGTTCATTTCTATTGTGACAACTAGTAATGCTGCCTACTACCTGCCTACCAAGGGCAACCACTTGGACACTTTAGATACTGAGAAGTGGTAGATGTTTGTAAACCAACCCTCCAATAAAACGTAGCCTCGATTTGTATTGCTTGCTAGCTAATGCGGTGCAAACACTCCATGGCCAGTATCTGAGGGGGGAGTGGGGCAAGCTCAGGTGGCCAGAGAGCGGGGAGCGGGGAGACTAGACTAGTCAACATGCCGGGACTCAGCAGGTGGGATCAGAAGGATCTTTGTGGTTGAGCTCATTTTCAGGATCGCTCAGGTGGGAGGAGTGTCACCAGCCAGGTCTGGAATGTGTGCATGCTCTCCAGACCCCGGAGTTTCCATCCCCTGAGGAGTCTCCCTGCCACCTGATGGACTGTGGTGGGTGCCTCCTTCCTGTGCTTTAGAACCTCTCTGGAAATCCCCAAAAGTTTACCCAGATCTGTCTGGAACCTGGGAGGATGGAGAATATTAGGAAACATGTTCATATATGCAAGCTGAAGTTTGAGAGTCGCTGCCCAAAAGCTTGGGCTTTGGGGCTCATGCCGGACCAGGGTAACTTGGGCATTGAGGCCAGAAGTTGGTGTCTCATAAAGGGAACTAGCTATGGTGTCATTCCTTTTTTATATATGCAGGTACATAGGGTGGCTGTGCTAGACTGACTCACGTGTCCTTAGTCTGCTACTCAGAGCCCTGGGACAGCCACACACACAGTGGTGGTTCGGGTGGGAGGGAGGAGATTGAAACACAGGAGTTCTGTCCGTAATGGAGCACCTGCCCTGGGGTAAGTGCTTCCACACACTATTCGGAAGCTCAGAGCTAAAACCCTGCCCTTCACCTGAGTGGGTAAAAGAGGAGACTTGAGGGGAGGCACACATACAGAACTCTTCACCCTGCCTTCTCAGCTTTGTGACCTTGCATTGGCAGCTTAATCTCTTCACATTTCAATTTCCTGACTTACAGAATAGAAATGATAACACATACTTGTCAGGTATCTTCTCAGCCATGAGCAGACCTTCAGGGCTGTCGTGCCCATTAGCCAGGCCAGCCCCCTCCTGAGGCCTAGGAGCCCCTCCCACCAGGAGAGGGCACTTCTGTCCCAGCGGAGTGGGGTGCAGAGCGGCATCCCAGCACACACCAACTCTGGGCCCACTTCTCGTGTTCCAGGAATTAACAGACCTGCAGAGGGACCCTCCAGCCCAGTGCTCCGTGGGACCTGTGGGAGACGATTGTAAGTATCTTTCAGGCTCCAGGCCTCAGGAGCTTTTAGTCAAGACCCCGGGACTGATGAGTCCAGCACTTTTTTAAGAAAACCCATTGTTTTCCCTAATTGGCTTGTGAAGTGATTTTTCATTAGATACATCGAGTTCATGGTCTGGCTGATCAAGATGGTGCCTGAAACCACCACTGGGCCACCAGAAAGCCACCCTGTCCTGAAGCACCTTGGCTTTTGCAAAGTGCCTCTGACCAACAAAAACTTGTGGTCTTAAAGTGGCCATGAGCGGTAAAGACAGTCATGAACCTGGTGCTAGAGGACCTGCTGCTGCATGAGGCATGACCCTCGCCTCTGCCAAGGGGAGGGCAGTACCGGAGCTTTTCCCTCAGTTCCGCTCCTCCCCAGTGGAGCGCCGGCTGGCCCCCTGCTCCCCTTTACAGCTGACCGGCCGAGAGCATGCAGCGCAGCACGAGGGCTCTCCAAGTGCATACTCTGCTCGCATCCCGCCTCCACTCTCCCTTGTCTTCACTGTGAGCTGGTGTCAAAGAAGGGTGGCATCCTCCATGGACACCCGAGACCTGAGAACAGGGACTCACACCGAAGTCGTGTGCCAACGTGCATTGCACCCTCACTCACAGTCACCCGAAGGCCTCAGTGCCCATCCCCAGATGAACGAGTGAGCAAATGTGGCATAGGCATACAACAGCATGCAGTTTAGCCACAGAAAGGAAAGAAGTTCTGACATGGGCTATAACATGGGTGAGCCTTGAAAGCATGCTAGTCATACAAGTCACACACAAAAGGACTAGCATGTGGTTCCAGTCCTATGACATCTCTGCACTAGGCCAGTGCAGAGAGACAGGAGGTGGATCGTGGCCCATGGGGCTGAGGGGGTGGAAATGGTACAGGTTTTCTGCCTGGAACCATGAAACGCTTGTCAGAATGGGTAGTGGTGGTGGCTGGACAGCATTGACTCACTTCAGTTGGCCAAGATGACATTTAATGGGTTGTTTTATTGTGTTAAAATGCACATTACAGAGTTTACCATCTTAACCAGCCTCTCACACACAGCCTTGTCAGAAACATTCATACTGCTGTGCAACCACCACCACCGCCCGCCCCCGTGGCTCTCTCGTCCCCAGTGTGTGATGTCTGTGTTACTGCAGCAAAGAGAGAGCAGTCTCACAAAGCTGGAAGGAAAGGGGGGTGGTGTCACATGCACGTGCTGTGGGCTGCGTGAGGCTCAGAGCACCTGGGGTGGGCAGGAGGGGCATTGAGAGGGGAGGTGCGAAGACATGTGTGACAGTCTGATGAACAAGGTGGCTGTGGCACCTCTGTTTCCTGGTCCTGCTTGTCACCTGATCCATGCTGTCTTTCCAAGTATCCCAGGTCTCCGTAGCATCTTTCTCTCCCTATTACTTGTGACAACAATGCCTAACTAGGGTGGCTGGTAAGACTGAGCTGGTCCTGACTCAGCTCAGCTTCCTAGTGGCACCCTCCGCCTGCCCTGCACCGAGCCTTCTCCCCTTTACGGCGGCCCCTGCAGGAGGCAGCATCACTCCTGGAGGGCGGCCACGTCCCCTCCCTGCTCAGCACCTCAGGGATGAGCTGTGTGCAGCCTTGGGCTATTTCCTGCCTCCCCGTGGGCAAACAGCCCCTTTCTAAGAGCTCTTGCAATTTCCTCTCTCTTCCTCTCTTTTGGGGCCCTCTCTTCTGACCACACCACCAAACCCTGCTTAGCCCCCCACAGCCCTCAGGAGTTCAAGGGACGGGACCAGAGACTCCCAAAGTATTCACCAGAAGGAACCACCTTTACTATCTACTCTCCAAAATCTCTAATATGGGTTCCCAGTTTCCGGTGTGTTAATCATCAAAACCACTTAATAAAGGATTCAATCTGTAGTGTTATTAGGGAAAGATATGTCTACCTGCCAACCACAGCTAATAATTAGCCTGAGTTGGCAAAAAAAAAAATAGTCAAAAGCAAAAGTAGTGACACTTTGGTCAGCTCAGGCAGCCTTGTTGCAGGTAGAGGTGTGCTCTTGCATACCACTTTCTTGACGTGCTGAGAAGGTCCTGGGCTGCCCTGACTGTCTCTGAGCCCCTCTAGGAGTCTGGAGAACCTCCCCTTCAGTCTCCGCACTCGCCGTCGTCACACCTTGGTGATTTCCTGTCCTGCTGTTGAGGGAGAGTCTGTGGGGTATGTGACCAGGTGGCAGGAGCCCAGGGCAAGTCTGAAACCTGGGGCTACTTCCACACCATCACAGGGCCGTAAGACAGAATTCCCTAGAGAGTAACACACCCTGCAGGTGGTCTCAGCAGCCCACTCATTGGGCAAGTAGGCACTTTCCACAAAGACAGTTGTCCTGGGAGCTTGGCAGTAAGCCACTGGCCCCCCGAGGTCAGCCCTGCGGAGTGCACCAGAGCTCCTCCAGGGCTGGGCAGGGCAGTACCAGTGGCCTGAGGTGCCAGAGAGAGCCCCAGGCCTGACGTGCTGCAAGAGAAGGGAAGCCCTGACCGGTGTGGCTGCGGGTTAGAGCGTTTGATCCCTGGTCCAGGCCTGTACCAGAGGCAACCAGTTGATGCCTCTCTCTCTCATCGATGTTTCCCTCTTTCCCTTCCTGTCTCTCTAAAAGCAATGACAAAATGTCCTCGGCTAATGATTTTTTAGAGAGAGAGAGGAGGGAAGGGAGAACAAGAGAGGCTTATTGTGGGCCTGTCATCAAGTTCCCAGCCCTGGGCGCTGCCAGGGGTGCTGTGGGAGAAGACAGCAGGGTGGGAGGGTAGCCTATCAAGGCCCCAGGGCCATGGGCGTTGGCACCTGAAAGGAGACCCTTGGCTTCAGACTGAACCCGGGGGAAAAGGAAGGAGTATGAGAGAGACATAAAAAGTAATATGGAAAGTGGCTGAAGCCAACCTAAGGCTTAATTCTGTGCAAAAAGAAGAGTAAACTATAGTTGACTGGCACTTTGGTAGTGAAGAATTTACTGTCAGAAAAGTCTTACTTGTAGCCTCAGCCTCTGGGAGGGGGGTCTCTGAGATGTTCTGCTGGGTAGGACTGCCTGTCTGTCCGGGGGCTCTGACCCACACCAACGGCATGGTTTAGGGAGACCAGCCACGTGGTTTCCACCAGGGGCTGCACATCAGCTGTAAGGCAGTCTGTTTTATCTGTCGTGCTGACCGAGGAACCTCCCCTGCAGCCAGTGCTCTGCACGTTGTTGCATGTCGGTGCCAGGATGGTGACACACCCTGACTCTGGAGCAGAGGACAGTGGGAGCTCTGTGTCTGGGCTCCCCCGGATGTGTCTGCGAGCTTCCCCCTCGGCCGATGCTCCTCTGCAGCCTTCCTTGTGATCAGCCATTCCCTGCACACAGACCTGCGGAGCGTCTGGGAGTCTTGGTGCCTCTGGGGGCTCCTAGGGAGCACTCATGTCAGGAGCAGCTCCTGGGGTGAGGCGGACACTGTGTGGGAAGTCTCTGACTCCCACCCCTCTTTTTCTTGTAGGGTTCTACTGGCAGGCCACCATCACCGGCCCGGTAGGTAGTAGCTGCTGAGCGCCACCCCGTCCACTGCCTCCCTGGACGCTTCTGTGCATGCTAACCTGCCTCCCGTGTCTCATCCTTCCAGAATGACAGTCCTTACCAAGGAGGCGTTTTCTTCCTGAACATCCACTTTCCCACAGATTACCCATTCAAACCCCCTAAGGTGAGCACGGTCGGAGTACAGCACGGGGCACCTGGAGGCACCGGTGCAGAAAGCTACACGTGGACTTCTGAGGGCCTCACCCACCCGCACGGTCACAGCCCCCAGGACATTACGCCCTAGGCTCCGGGCAGTCCCCAAGGTGGGGCCTCCCCTGGAGCCCTGGCTGGACAGTACTCTTCATGGTTGTGGCTGAGTCTGGCCCCTTTCTCTGCATCCCCGTCAGTCTAGGGCAGGGATTCTCAGCCCCTGCCCAGGGGCATTGGACAATGTCCTGGGATGTGGGGATGTGTGGGGTGTAAAAATGGGGGGGGGGCAGTTGCTGCTGGTTTATAGGAGGTGGAGCCCAGGAAGGCTGCTCATGCCCTACAGTGATGGGACCCCTAAGCGTCGGCAGGACCCTGGCAAGTCACCTCCCTTCCTACACACCCATCCCACCAGCAAAGTCTCCAAGAGAGGACAGTGCCACCAACAGGAGGGAGAAGGGAGGGACCTGCTCCACCATCATGGCCCAGTAGGACTACTGCCCACCACACACCAGAGCTGAACCCAGAGGGGTCCTGACTCATAAGGGAGCAGTCCTGTCTGTGTGGCTGGTGCTCAGAAGCACAGAGCAGCAGGGGGTGGGGGGACGGGGTGGGGGGTGGTCACCCTGAGCATGTCAGGGATCACAGAGCAGGGAGCAGGCCAGAGGGGCCCCAGGAGTCAGGCTCTAAGGAGGAGACTGACAGCGGGTGGGTGCATGGGGCTGAGGGGAAGGGGCGGGTTCTAGAAGCTCCACGGTGGAGCCAGCAGGACTGGTAGCAGATCAGAGGCAGACACCATGGTGTGTGTGGGTTCACATCACTTTAAATTGTTTATATGCCTGATTGCAAAACTGGTCAGTTGATTATTTTAAAATTAGGACATTGGGGACCTAGTGTGCAGATGGAAATCAGCCTTCCATAAACCTACCCATGGAGAAGACCACAGCTAATTGCCCGGTATACATTCCTCCAGGTTTTCTCTGCAGACACCAATGCAGGGCCAGGCAAAAGTAGGTTTAGTTGTTCGTATGGCAAATAACACAAGACTTAATGATACACGAATAAACTCTGGGTTTTGCATACTCACAAGTGTAAACCTACCTTTGCCCCGCCATGTACATATTTTTATTATTTTTACATAAAAATATCAATTCTGGCTATTAATGAGGAAATTGATGCATCAGCCAATTATTTTAGTTTTTTAAAAAATTAGAGTTAACATTCAATACTATATTTCGTGTGTATAGCATAGTGGTGAGACATTTACACAATTTACAAAGTGTTTACATAACTTAGGAAGTGTTCCCCCCGGTGGATCTAGTACCCGCCTGGCACCATGCTGTTACTGCAGTATCATTGGCTGTGTGCCCTGTGGCCCCTGTGGCTGTTCTGTAACCACCAGTCTGTGCTTCTCAGCCCTTCCACCTCCTTCGCCCTGCCCCCAACACCTGCCCCTCTGGCAACCTTCAGTGGGATCTCTGTGTCTTATGAGCCTGGTTTTGTTTTGTTGGTTATGTTATTTCTTAGATTCCACATATAAGTGAAATCATAGGTATCTGACTTTCTCTGCCTGACTTATTTCTTAGCAAAAAAAGCCCTGGGCCCCTGACTGGAGTGGCCCAGCGGGCTGGGCATCATTAATGTTTTGAATACACCTCAATGCAAAGGAAATGTGAAGTTGTATTCTGTTTTATAAAAAAAACGTTAAGAACTGGCCCTGGCTGGTGTGGCTGAGCAGATTGAGTGCCAGCCTGCGAACTGAAAGGTCACTGGTTCGATTCCTGGTCAGGGGACATGCCTGGGTTGCGGGCCAAGTCCCCAGCTGGGGCTGCTCTAGAGGAAACCAGTTGCTGTATCTTTTGAACATTGAGGTTTCTCTCCCTCCCCTTCTCCCTCCCTTCCCCTCATTCTATAAATAGGTAAATAAATAAAATCTTAAACACACTTTAAGAACTGAACAGGGATGACTATAACCACAGTCTGAGAAAGGACATTATCCTCCAACAATGCAGATTCTTGTGTTTATGTACGTGCTGAAGAATCTTAAGTTAGTTGTAACAAAAGCAAAATTTTATATTTAAAAAGAAAATGAGACTTCTGGCCAAGATGGAGACATAGGTAGACATACTGTGCCTCCTTGCACAACCAAAAAAAAGGACAATTTAAAAACAAAAATCTACCAGAACTGACAGAAAATCAACTGTATGGAAGTCGGACAACCAAGGAGTTAAAGAAAGATTCATCCAGACCGGTAGGAGGGGTGGAGACAGGCAGCTGGGCAGAGAGGCCTGGGCAAGGCGGTGGCTGGAGGATCCAGTGAGGCGGCAGATTGTGGACTGGGTGGTCCCGCATTCACCTGCAGATAAACCAGGAGAAACTATTGGGGAATAGGATGGACTGTGCAACCCAGGGCTGTAGCACAGGGAAATAAAGCCCCAAACCACTGATTGAAAACACCTGTGGGGGATGAGGCAGTGGGAGAAACTTCCAGCCTCACAAGAGAATTCATTGGCGAGACCCACAGGGTCCCAGAACATACGCAAACCCACCCACCCAGGAGTCAGCACCAGAAGGGCACAATTTGCTTGTGGGAAGTAGGGAAAGTGACTGAAATCCGCCAGAGAGCAGAGCAAGCACCATTGTTCCCTCTCGGACCCCTCCCCCACATACAGTGTCACAACGCAGCTACATGGGTTACCCTGCCTGGGTGAACACCTAAGGCTCCGCCCCTCACTACATAGCAAGTGCATAAAAAGAAAATGGCCCAAATGAAAGGACAGATCAAAGCTCCACAAAAAATACAACTAAGCAATGAAGAGGTAGCCAACCTATCAGATGCACAGTTCAAAACATTGGTAATCAGGATGCTCACAGAATTGGTTGGATTTGGTTGCAAATTAGATGAAAAAAAGAAGGCTACGCTAAGTAAAGGAAAATGTATAGGGAACCAATAGTGATGGGAAGGAAACTGGAATTCTAATAAATGGTGTGGGCCAGAAGGAAGAAAGAAACATTCAACCAGAAAAGAATGAAGAAACAAGAATTCAAAAAAATGAGGAGAGTCTTAGGAACCTCCAGGACATCTTTAAACATTCCAACATCTGAACTATAGGGGTACCAGAAGGAGAAGAGGAAGAGCAACAAGTGGAAAACTTATCTGAACAAATAGTAAAGGAGAACTTCCCCAATCTGGAAAAGGAAATAGACTTCCAGGAAGTCCAGGAAGCTCAGAGAGTCCCAAAGAAGTTGGCCCCAAGGAGGAACACACCAAGGCACATTATAATTACATTACCCAGGATTAAAAATAAGGAGAGAATCCTAGAAGCAACAAGAGAAAAGGAGAGAGTTACCTACGAAGGAGTTCCCATAAGACTGCCAGCTGATTTCTCAAAAGAGACCTTACAGGCAAGAAGGGGCTGGAAAGAAGTATTCCAAGTCATAAAAGACAAGGACCTATATCCCAGATTACTGTATCCAGCAAAGCTTTCATTTAGAATGGAAGGGCAGATAAAGTGCTTCTCAGATAAGGTCAAGTTAAAGGAGTTCATCATCACCAAGCCCTTATTATATGAAATGTTAAAGGATTTATCTAAGAAAAAGAAGAAGAAACATATGAACAGTAAAATGGCAGCAAACTCACAATCATTAACAACCACACCTAAAATAAAAACAAAAGCAAACTAAGCAAACAACTAGAACAGAAACAGAACCACAGAAATGGAGATCACATGGAGGGTTATCAACAGGGAAGTGGGAGGGGGAGAGAGGGGGAAAAGGTTCAGAGAATAAGTAGCATAGATGGTAGGTAGAAAATAGAAAGGGGGAGGTTAAGAATAGTCTAGGAAATGTAGAAACCAAAGAACTTACATGTACGACCCATAGACATGAACTAAAGGGGGGAAATGTGGGTGGGAGGGGGTGTGCAGGGCGGAGGGGAGTGAAGGGGGGAAATGGGACAACTGTAATAGCATAATCAATAAAATATATTTTAAAAAATGAAATTACAGATACATGAAGAACAAAAGTCTAATATATACCAAAGACACTGTGTTGCTTGATATACTTACTGTCAACATGTGGAGCCCTTTCAAGGTTTTGCAAAGACTGCGTTAGTAGCAGTGCTGTGTAATATCCAAACGAGGAGAAGATGAAGACACCGCTGTGCCAGACTCCCACGCACTGTCCACGGGCGGCACACCTGCGCGCGGTGGTGCCCTCTGCCGGAGCGCTCGCCGCCGGCAGTTCTCCTCCGGCCTCACGTGTCGCCGTGCGCCAGGCCCAAGCTCTCACGCCACAGAGAGGCTCTGCGGTGGGTCCGCGGCCAGTGCAGAGCGGAGACCGACGTTTGTTTTCAAACTACATGACTGGCTCCCAACAATCCCTTATCAGTAGGCTCACTGGCCAAATATCAAATATGAAGGATCAGATTTAATTGTTTGGTATAAGTGTGAAACTGTTTTTGATAGCTTTCTGTGGCTAGCATAAACCAAGTAACCCAAGAAGCACGGGATGTGTCAGCTTATATTTCTAAGACTTTTTAAAAATTAATTTTGGACTCAGAGAAAATCGCAAACATAGCAGAGTCCCTCCCCCGGCTCTCCCTGACACCAGCCTCTTTGTGACTAGAGCTCTGTCGCCTGGCCCAGGAGTCGGCCGTGGCCTCAGAGCTCCGGACCAGGCTGACGACACCAGTCACGTTCTCCCTGCTCATACTGACATGCGTCCCGCCTGCCTTGTCGTGCTCCTTCACCGTCACAGTCTGCCTCAGTTTCCCCTGGGCTTTCATGACCCTGATGCTTGTGAAGAGTGTTCACCCATTATCTTACCAAATGTCCCTCATTTTGAGTCTGCGGTGTTTTCTCAGGATTGGACAGAGGTTATGCCCTTTGGCAAGACTTCATGGAAGTCCTGAGCCTGTGCCAGGGCCCCACGGCTCGGGGCTCATGCTCGGTCTCACTGCCCAGAGCGGGACCCTGATGTCCGAGTGTGAGTCGTACCCTGGGCCGTGCAAGGGCCCTGCGTCTGAGCTGCGTGAAGAAGCCCCTCAGGCTCCCCAGCCACAGCTCCGCCACGTGTGGGATGAGAACAGGTTGTCCCCCACCTCTGTCCTGTGAGGGTCAGGTGGGGGTCCCACTCACCCAGGACCGTGCAGAGCCAGACATAAGCCCAGCAGCAGCCACTTCAGCCTCACTCGGTTCCTTCTCCAGACGCTGTCTGCACTTAAGGTCTAGAATGTCCCTGCGGCCTGATTGACTCGAGGTCTCTCAACCTGCAGGTTGCTTTCACCACCAAAATCTACCACCCCAACGTCAGCAGCAATGGCAGCATCTGCCTCGATGTCCTGCAGTCCCTGTGGTCTCCATCACTGACGGTGTCCAAAGGTAGCTGCCAGGACGCGTGCCAGGCTCTGATGCGCCCGCAGGCCCTGTCCCACGCCCGCGGCTCTTGCAGCAGCTTTCGGCCCCACGTCCCTGGAGGAAACAGGCTCAGAGAGAGCAGGTGGCTTTCCACAGCTCCCAGGAGAGGGCGTGTGGGCCCTGTTCCTGCACTGACCGTGTCCACACCGACCGGTTGCTTCGGGGACTCCGGCCTGACCGTTGCTTGGGTGCAAGGAGAGAATACTGGTTTTATGAGCATGTTCCTCTAGAAATAAGAATGGAAAACACTGCATTGCCTTCTCGGTTCCCTCATTTGTTCACCTACCCATCACGGATTCTGACCTAAGCCTCAGAAGGAAGGAGAGGCAGGCCCCTCCCCGACCGCCCCACCCCCCCATCCCCGGGGGCCCCTGGGGGGCCCCTCAGTCTTGAGGAATTACCCGCCACCAAGCAGTTGCTGAACACATCTCTGCCTGCAACTAAAGACACCAGTCTCAACGGGGCTTCAGAAACACAGATGGTCCTTCTGAACGAAAAGGCTAAACTTAGGTGTAGACAGCATGAATGTCCTGTCAGTGGGGTGGGTGAGACGGTGAAAAAATCTGCCCAGGAGGCACCGGGCCCAGAGCCCAATAGACGAGCCGAGGTGGGTGCGAAGCAAAGCAGGCAGAGCCGAGCTTCCAGCAGCCAGCAAGGGCTGGGGCGGGACAGGCCCCTGGCAGGACAGGCTTTCGAAGGCTGCGTGGTGAGTCCAGAGGGAGAGCTGCCCACCCCTCCTTGGGCCCCTGAACGCTCTGGGTCCCCATTTCCCAATAAGCAAACAGGCCCCGAGACCCATCACCAAAGGTGTGCGGCCCCCCGCGGGTTCCCCAGAGCAGGGGGCATAAAACTGCCATTCAGCCCATGGATGAGCCGAGAGAATACTTTCATGACTGTTGAGGAGTCAGTCCGAATAATTCAGACGGAATGCTGAAGGGAAGATTCTCAATCTGTCCACAGAGAGCTTAAGCTGGGGGCTCTCCAGACTCGGGGCCACTGGCAGTCTCAGGGCTGACGCGGCTTTGCTTCTCTTCCCAGTGCTCTTGTCCATCTGTGCCCTGCTCAGCGACCCCAACCCTGACGACCCTCTGATGCCAGAGATCGCCCACACCTACAAGGCCAACAGAGAGAAGTATGCACCCCCCTTGGGCCCCTTTGAGCCTCGGGGCTACCCACCCTGGGCTGGTGCCTCTTGGCTGACCAGGTTCCAGCAGACCACTTCCTGCCCGAGCCTGGGCCTCGCAGGGGGTGTCCTGGGTTCAGATTCCCACTCTCTAGTGAACATGCCCTTTGGCTCTGAGAAGGGAGGAGATAAAACCTGTTCACCCTCCTTGGCAGCTCATCAGCTGCTGGTACCGAACCCTAAAGTATTATTGCCAGGCCTGCCCCTGAGGTCAGCAAAGCCAGTGGTCAGCCAAGCATGGACTAAGAAGCATATAACAAGAACATTCTGGATTAAATTCTGAAGTTTGCAGGGTAAGCCAGAGTATCTTTGCAGAGACGCAGGGCCAGGCCAAGGCCAGGCCGGCAGGAGCACAGCCGGGCCGGTTCCCAACGCAGGCTCAGCCGTCAGCAGCGCGTCAGGGTTTCACTGACAGACCCTCTGGTTATTTTCTTGTTTATTCATTTGGTTTTTTAAGATTCCAAATACAAGTGAGATTACACAATACCTGTTTTTCTCTGACTCACATATCACTTAGCATAACACCCTCCAGTTCATCCATGTTGTCGAAAATGGCAAGGTTTCATTATTTTGGATGACCAAGTAGTGTTCCACTGTATATATACTACACCTTCTTTATCCACTCATCTACTGATGGACACGTGGGCTGCTTCTGTAACCTGGCTGTTGTAAACAATGCTGCAACAGACATAGGGGTGCTCAGGCACATCTTTTCGAATTAGTGGTTTTATTTGGATAAATACCAGAAGTGGAATTGCTGGATTGTGTGACAGCTCTATGTTTAACTTTTTGAGGACCCTTCATACTGCTTCCCACAGTGGCTGCACCAGTCTGCATTCCCACCAACAGTGTACTAGGGTTCCCTTTTCTCCACATCCTCATCAACACTTTTTTTTGGCTCATTTATTGATGACAGCCATTCTGACAGGTGTGAGGTGGTATTTCATTGTGGTTTTAATTTGTATCTCTGATGATTAGTAATGTTGAGTATTTTTTTATATGTTTCTTGGCCATCTGTATGTCCTCTTTGGAGAAAATGTCTGTTCAGGTTCTCTGCCCATTTTTAAATCACATTGTTTTTTTGGTGTTAAGTTGTATGAGTTTCTTACTGAATGCAGCATTGGCAAATGTCTTCTTCCATTCAGTAGGTTTTTTTCTCATTTTGTTGATGGTTTCCTTCGCTGTGCAAAAACTTTTTAGTGTGATGTAGTACCATTTGTTCATTTTTTCTTTTGTTTCCCTTGCTCAAGGAGAGATATCCAAAAATATATTGCTAAGAGGCATGTCAAAGAGCTTACTGTGTATGTTTTCTACTAGGAATTTATGGTTTCAGGCCTAATATTTAAGTCTTTCATCTATTTTGAGTTTACTTTTGTATATGGTGTAAGAAAGTGGTCTAGATTCATTTTTTTGCACGTTATGTGTCCAGTTTTGTCAACACCACTCATTGAAGACTGTCTTTACCCCACTGTTTACCCTTGCCTCCTCAACTCTGTTCAAACTAGGGACCAGTCCCAGAGCAGTAGAAGCCATTATGCCGGGCACAGCCAGGCACACTGGAGCCCCAGGGGAGGGAAGGCTTTGAGGGTGAGGCACAGACAGTGGGAGAAAGGACCTGGCCTGGCCCTGGAGTCAGAGCCGAGGCCCGTGAGCAGTGCTGGGTCTCAGAGGATGATGTGGGGGCGGGTTGGGGAGTGGTAGTTGCTGCTTCTTCCAAAGAACATTTCCAGTGAGTCTTTCAGTTTATGAATTCTCTTCTGTCTGAAGAGATTTCAAGAAGAGACGGAAAGTGGTTTTTTCAACTTATATTAATCTTGAAAGTTTGATAGATGTCACTATTTCACTCATTGAGTTTCCCACAATGACAGCATAATTTTTAGTTGACTAGATTATAAACTGTACTTATTTATTTTACCACTTACTATGAGACACTTTAGACATACCAGAAGTGGTTTCTTCATTGCCCTCTGCGGCTGCAGATCTGTCTTACAACCTCACTGCTCCAGACCTCACTCAGCAGTGGGAATAAACACACACACTCCCACAGCCCCCCGTGGGCACCAGGTCTGCTCAGGGGCGGGAGGCTCCAAAGCCTGTGTGCTGGGCAGCCTGGGCTGCTCCTGGCTGACCTCCATGTTTGTTCTCCTGACCCTCCTCATCCATGCTGTAGGACAGGAGAGAGGAAGGGAGGGGGTTTGGTACATTACTGAGTCCTCTGTAGCAGACAGTTATGGAGAAGTATCAGGACTCACCAAGCAAGGGGTTTATGGTCACAAACGACACATCCTCACACCAGTACGTTTATTTTGCCCGCTCGCTAGTCCTTCCTGTTTGCCAAGAGGCAGCAGCGGTCCCCTGCATCAGTTCTGTTCTCACCTCTGAGTGCACAGGAAGGGACCGTTTTGAATGAGGGTGTCACCCGCTCTGCTTTTTCCCCCCAGATACAACAGACTAGCGAGAGAGTGGACACAGAAATATGCTATGTAAGTGCCTTGGAGGTTTCACAGCAAAGAGGTCCTTCCGTGAAACGGAGCTCCTGGCCGAGCCACTCCCAGAGCACCCTCTCTTGTACAACGCCGGCCGCACTTTCTCCAGCCGCAGCCCACTGCGGCCACTCTCAGCTGTTGTGGCTTTGACAACCTCACATCTTTGATACCAACTTAGTGGTTACTTTATGATCTGCAGCCTTCCCGGCCACACTGGAATCGGTCCCTGCACCCCGACTCGCCGCTGGTCTCATGGGGGGACAATGTGCCGTGCACCTCCCCTGCCTGACCTTGGGTGGCGCCCCCTGCCATGGCACCGCCCGGGCCTCTGCCTCACCCTCACCTCTGGGTCTCAGCGCCAGCCTGGGTGCCCCAGGCAGAGCGAGCACCGCCTGCTGCAGACCTTGTCTCGGGAGGTCTCCACTCATCCCGGGAGTCAGGAGCACTGTCCCTGGGACAGTGTCCCTCTGTGGTGCTGGCACCCCCCCGCCCCTCACCGGGCAGCAGCAGCACTTGGAACGTCGGGGCAGCGAGCACAGAACACCCTGGGAGAGGTGGCTGTCTTTTCAGAGTCCAGACCTGCAGACTGCGGTCTGCTTTTCCACACGAAGAGGATTTCCAGTACCCGCCGCCCCCTCGGGGCCAGCGCTCAGCTCAGCGTGAGCCGCCCACAGACCAGAGCACAGGGGCAGGGAGAGACTTCGGAATGCGAATAAAGATGTGATTCACTGATCACACTAAACGGTAACCAGCATTGAAGCCTACCTTTTTCCCAGGCAGAACAGAAGACATGGACACTTTTAAGAGGTCCTTTGGAACCGTGAACAGCCTGTTGAGTGAGTGAGTGGCCGCCTCTTAGGTTTCTGAGGCAGTCCACTTGAAGGGTTACCTTCAGAGTTGCAGCTTTGAGATTAGGTTGGCTTGAAGGGAAGGTGGATTATTCTAATTAAACCTCCCAAGAGGGAGGGAAATTGAGGGGCTTCACACCTCTGAAGTCAAATCTGACCTGGTCTTTTCTAACTGGTCCCCTCCCAGGAAGCCGTGGGAGTGACACTGGGGTGAGGAGCAGCAGGGGATGCAGCAGGAAATTGCGCCCCCCAGTGGCCCGACGGGGTCTTTGCAGGCAGGTCAAGGAAAGAGGTCCACCTGCTCCAGGAGCTGAGTCGCCCACAACTTCACTGCTGAGGCCTCCGGGCAGCAGTCTGAGCCTGGTCTGCATTTGCTTTGTGGGGATCCCCATGTAAGACCCTGAGGCCATGGGCTACTTTTGAGGTTCCATGGGCCCTGTGCCCTGCCTGTCACCACACTGACAGCTGCCTTTTTAATTTTTGTCTCTGCTACCCCTTTGGTCTTTGTGTAAACAAAATGTTAGAACTTCCTAGAAAGGCAGAGGCCATTAGCATGTCCCCTGGGAAGGCTCTCAGACAGTGGTCACAATGTACCTTGCAGCTAAGCACCACAGAGCATGGGGAGAGGGGCCAGGGTCACATTGCAGAGACAAGTCAGAGACTTAGAGAGATCCCCTCCCAAGCTGCTGTCGAGGCTGTGGGTGCCCTTCGAGTGTAACAGCTTATGACTCCCAGAGGCTGATGGAGTTCCTGAGTCCAGACAAAATCTCCCCACGCCTGTCCTCTCTGTTGGAGACACATGGTAAGAAAGTGAAATCAGCCCTCCGGGATCCCCAGTGTCAGCTGTCCTGGCCCTCTGCCAGCCTGAGCTGGACTCTGTGCCCTTTGCCAGACCCTTTGGACAAGCCTGATCCTGGCAAACCCCGGCACGGCCTACCCCCGAGAAACCCACCTGTCTGTCGGCCTGAACAGGCTTCTTGGGCTGAAAACCTTACTTCAGGGCGCACTGTGGTGCGGAAGTCCCCGTGGAACCTGCGTGTGCAGACCTCGTGTTTCCAAGGTGAGTCCCCGGAAGGCAACTGGACAGTAGGTCCAGAAAGCCAACTGCGGGGTGCTGTGGCCTTTCTCTGGACCAGAGACATCAGGGAGGGACATGGTGTTAAGCAACTGATCCGCCGTGAACAAATGGCTATTAACTGCGGCCAGACGCACCTGGGTTTGGGGGACAGCGCGGGACCTGGATCCTTCGTCAGGCTCCACAGAGTTCCGAGAAGATGGCAAAGGGTCTGAATGTCCTGACCAACGATGAGACGCCACGACGCAAACGTCCCAGGCCCGGCAGCTCGGAGCTGGGAGTGTGTGCACGCCACCGCACCGTGGTGCTCGAGGAGACCGGGTTTCCGTCTCGGAGACTCAGGAGGCAGTCTCCCTAAGCGCCAGAGGGATGCTTGCAGGACAGGGCCGGCCTGGGGTCTGCCTCAGGTACCCAGTGGGGGGCAAAGAAGCCTCAGGATCAGCGTGGGCCCCTTGTCTGTCCTGCCCCACCAGCCCCTCCTTCCCGTGCCTCCTGTCACTGTGGCACACGCTTCCTCCAGGCAGGGCCGCGTGAGGGCGGGGCCTGGATTCGGTCTGGTCATGGACGTTGGTCCTCCCAGGGGTGGACAGGGCAGGCAGCACCCGTGGCGGCAGGAGTGCTCTCTCCCCTACTGTCCTGTCCTTCCTGGCCAGTCTGCTGGTCTCCTTATCCCCACCCAGGTTTCCCCTGTTGAGATTTTATTCATAAAATCACAAAGCTATAAAGAATCTATAAAACCTATCAAACCAGATAGTGGCTTCTTAGTTTTCCTTAAAATGTCACCTTCTGCCCCTTTCCCCAAACCCCCACGCCCCTAACCCTAACCCTGTTCAGACGCCACCTTTGTGCGGAAGTTGGCCATTTCTGCGTTTGGTGACAGATGCCCGGCAGTGCAGCCCTTCACCCGGCACCAGGAGGCCTGATGGATCTGTGGACACCTTCCCGTTAACACACCGCAAAGTTGCGGTGAAACTTCAGAGCCCCTCCCCTGCGGGGAGGCTCCCTTCCCTCGTGCGGTTCCTGCTGGCTCCAGGCCTGAGCTCACACTTGACAGCAGGAAGCTGGACTGACGCTTCGGGCAAGACGTAGGAGCCAGAGACCCTCAGAGAGCTTCGGGAGCAGCAAGGCGCCCTCCCTGAGGCCTTGTGAGCGGTTAGGTGGCCGGGACCTGAGCGGACGCCCTTCGTGCTCCTGCGCGCCCCGATCCAGATTCGGACCCTGCAGCCACCCCCCACCCCCCACCCCCGCCTGCTTCCCAGACCCGGCCGCCCCCTTCCTGCCGCTGCGACTCCCAGTTCAAACCGGACTGAGCCTCGATTAGGAAGGCTTAAAAAAACAACACCTCTCAAGTTGTGAGGTTCCACTCATCATGCAGCGTAAACAAGTTTCCTGTTTAGCGCAGGAGAAGTGATGACTCCGTTTCTCTAACTCTGCGGTGATGGGGCCACGCGTGCCGGAACAAAGGCGCGACCCTGGTGGTTTGCCTGGTGATCGACACTTCTGCTGGCGAGGCCCGTGAATAAATTGCCATCAGCCCTGGCTGGCGTGGCTCAGCGGGTTGAGCGCGGGCTGTGGACCAAAGGGTCGCCGGTTCGATTCCCAGCCTGGGTTGTGGGCCAGCTCCACACACGGATGTTTCGCTCCCTCTCTTTCTCCCTCCCTTCCCCTCTCTCTAAAAATAAAAATAAATAGTAAATAAATAGCTGTCCTTCCTCATGGACGGCCTCGGTCTGAACGGCTGGCTCCTCGGCCTGAGACCGAATTCCCGGGTGGCAGGAGAGGATGCCCAGGGCCGAGGGCGCTGGTGGCGGAGTGGCGGGCGCGCAGCCTTCCCTCTCCCCGCGTCCCCACTGATTCACCTCCAACTGTGGCTGAGGGTCCACGCAGAGGCCCGGGGCCCGGCGCGCAGGACACTGTCGGGACCCCAGATTCCGCAGCCGGAGCGGTAACTGTGACCGCAGTCGGACGAGGACGCGCACGCTCTCTGAGCAGCCGCCGCCGAGAGGGGCCCCGCCAGGTCCCTCCGCGGGGTCCCTCGGCCGGGTCCCCTAGGAGCGCCTCCACTCTCGCTGCGCCCCACCCACCCAAGACCCGGGCTTCGCGGCCCCGCCCACCCGCTTCCTCTTCCGGCCGGCGGGGGCGGGGCGGGCCCGGAAGCGGCGGCAGTGGCGGCGGCGGCGGCAGCAGCTAGGGGACCAGGCTGGGCCATGGCTGCGAACCTGAGCCGGAACGGGCCGGCGCTGCAGGAGGCGTACCAGCGCGTGGTCACCGAGAAGTCCCCGACCGACTGGTGGGCACCGAGGCGGCCTGGGGCCGGGCTGGGCCGGGTGGGGGAGCCAAGGGGCGCGACCCGCGCAGCCACGGGCGGACCGGGACTTACCTGCGTGCCCCACACCTGCGCCGCGCCCGGGAGGTGCCCTCCGGACCCTGACACCGCTGTCCCCGCCGCGCGTGACACCCCCAGGGCCGCTCCATCCCTCGATCTGCGGCTCTGTGGTGGGCTCTGTGCCTGGCTGCCCTTGGTGGCTTCGCCAGGTTCTGCTTTCCTGCCGGGGACCTTGCAGTCTCCCCGAGAAAGCGGAAGCCACGCCTGGCTTGTTGCGTCCCGGGACGGGCCTCTGAGAGCCGCCTGCGGGCCGGCTGGCTGCGGGAACCCTCCCCCGGAGGCGTCAGACCAGGAGGTTCTCTGTGCCTGTGGTTTTCAGAACCTCCCTCCATCCAAGGGAGCCCCTTCCTGTACGGGAGCCTCGGGGAGATGAGTGTCTCACGGCGCGGGCTACCGTCGCTGTCCGCCTCCTCGTGCGTCCTCTGCTAGGTGACCGTGGTTAGTGCCCCTCAGGAGGATGATGGGGCTTTACAGACCTGGAGTCCTGGTCCGAGGGCTCTGGCATGACCCAAGCAGCCCCACTCAGGGTCAGCTCGCTGTTCTGCAGCTGGTGATGGCTCTGGGTGGGAATGCTCTGTCACTGTTCAGTTGGTTTGAGCCATTTTCATTGACTGGTTTCGAGCACTCCCGGTTGTAAGGAATGCTGAGCAGGGAAGGCTTAGATGACCGGCTTAGGAGAGCAGGGCCGGAGGGTGTGGCTGCGCCCCTGGGACTGGCCCCCACCTGTCAGGTGCTGCTGCTTTCTCGCCTCTGCTTTCCTTGGTGCCCAGCACAGTGGCTTTTGTCCCGGGTACCGTTGTGACACCGAGGGAGTCGGGGCCTTTCACTTCCTTCAGCCCAGGCCTTGTGGGCAAGAGCTTGGTCACAGCAGTGCCTGTCTGCATGCTCCTGTCCTGGGCCTCCGCCAACTGGGCCCCGAGTTGCACTGGGCCGTGCTATGCAGGACAGTCAGGCGATGAGGCCTTTGTCTGGAAAGCATTACTTCTGTCAGGGAACGGTGTCCGGTAACCAGCAGAGTCTCTCCCCTTCCCTTCTCTGCAATCGGTCCTCAGGAAGCTCCCCCGCACGCCTGGCACGGTCACTTCTCTCAGGGGGCGTCTGCATGTGCGCCCCCACTGTCCTCTGCTGCTCTCTGGAAGCCCTCTGGCCTCTGCTGATGCTGCAGACTTCACCAGCAGCACCTCTGCACACGGCGCCCCAATTCCACGCCCACGCCGGACCAGAGCCTGGAGACATCGCCCCTCTGTAGTCCCTCCCCATTCGGGTTGACTGAACCTGGGGGGTTCCTGGGCATCCTGCCGGGCCTTCGCTCCAGGCCTCTCTCTGTCCTCAGCCCTCTTGGGACTGTCCCTGGTCGGGGAGATGTCATTCAGGCCTCCCATGTTTCAGCCTGGCACTCACTATGGCCACTTCCCTGCCCGTAACGCTGCAGTGACTTCCCATCACTCTTTCCGTAAAGGCCAGGTTCCTCGTCCGGCCGACAGGCCCTGACAGCTGCTCTCACCTCCACGACAGGGCCCACCCCCACCCCCCTTTGCCGCACTGCCACCCTTTCTCTGTTCCTCAAACCTGCCGGCTGGTTCCCCCTCAGAGCCTTTGCTCTGGCTGTTTCCTCTGCTGGAGCGTGCCTCCTCCTCATCCCGGGGGCCCCTCCACAGCTCGGGTCTTGCAGGGCCTTCCTCGCTGCCTCGCTCCCTGGCTGCAGTCACATTCCCCAGACCCAGGCGGACACCCTGCTGGTTTTGTGTCACCTTTCTCTCTTTTCCAGAAGGGGCGGGGGCGGGCCCTGTCTCTTTCCCTGGTGCAGGGCTGTGGTGCATAGTAGGTGTTCAGGTGAAGGACGGACCGAGGGGGACAGGAAAGGTGGTATCAGAGCAAGGAGAGGTGGTCTCCGATGTGGTGGGCGCAGCATGGGCAATCTTGGATGGGGTCCTGAGGCGAGGTGGGGGGGGGCCACATCAGCTCTGCGCCTGGGCTCTTCTTGGCTCTCCCCGGTCCTTCTTCCCTAGAGCACGGCCTGGGCCCAGCTGCCACAGCCCCGGCCCCGGGCCAGCGTGTCTGTGCTATCTGTGTCCCGTTGGGGGGCGTGCTCGGCACTGCGCCCCACCCCCGCGAGCAGCAGGCTCTTCCCACGTGCATTTGGAAGGAAGGACTGGCATCCAAGGTGCCGGTGCCCCACGTGGGTCGTGCCCAGGCCAGAGCGCCATTCTTCTCACATCGATGGGCAAGAGGGCTGGGGCTGGTGGGTTGTGGTAAGGAGCCCCTGGGGGGCGGGGCGACACCCTCCAATGGCCCGGGGAGAAGGGGAAGAGGTCAGAAGGTGTGTGGCTGGTACGTATGGAGCGTGGCGCTCAGGAGCTGCTGGATCCCTTTTCTTTTTCTTTTCTTTTTTTCTTAGAGGAAGAAAGAAACATTAATTTGTTGTCCCATTTATTTATGTATTCATTGGTTGATTTCTTTTTCTTTTTTTTTTTTGTCCTCACCCAAGCACATGCTTGTTGATTTGAGAGGCGGGGGGGAGGGAGGGAGGGAGGGAAGAAGGGAGGGGGGGAGAGAGAGAGAGAGAGAGAGAGAGAGAGAGAGGGGGAGAGAGGGAGGGAGGGAGGGAGGGACGTGGACTGGGGACCAAACCCGCAACTGTGGCGAATGGGGACGACGCTCCAACCAACTGAGCTACCCGGCCAGGCTGCCGGGTCCCTTCGTGGAGAGCTGGGCTGAGCAGCCCTCCTGTCCCTGCTGCTTGCCCAGTGTCCCTCTCTTCTGTGGCTGCAGGAGGAAGGGACTCTTTCCTGCAGCGGGAGGGCAGGCAGGACTCCGACCAGCGTCTCCCTACGACTCGCTGTCCGGGGGTCAGCCAGCACTGCCTGGGGCTGCAGTCGGTGCTGATGGCTGCACTGCTGGGAAGCCACCTCTTCCAGAATGTTCTCCCAAAGGTCCATTGCCTCCCAGGTCTTCTGTTTCCATTTCTCACCTTCCATATTGTTTCTTTTCTCCTGGGAAGCTTATTCTTTCCTGGCAGCCTGTCCTCCCTGTCAACCGGGTCCCCTGGGCCGGGGTCAGATCTCGTTTCTTCCAGCTTTCTGGGGCACAGGCCACTCTGCCCAGTGGTGTCAGCAAGGCCACCAGGAAGCCGAGCGGAAGCTGATTAGGTTCCTGTCAGACTGTTTACCCTGGGGCCCCGGGCTGGCCGGCTCAGCAGCCTGTGCTCCAGAGTAACCCTTGTTCCTGTCCAGGGCCCTTCCCCAGCTATGTCCACATTCAGTGAAATCTGCCCTAGTTCCTAAACGCCTCTGGGACACCAGTTTTCAACCCCACATCTGTTCCACATGCGTCATGAATAATCAGTCTTGCCGGAAGAGAGGTGAGGCTCCGGTTGGTCCAGATTTCACCCCGCCGGGAGCCCGCCCGCCCGTGAGGACCCACCATCGTGCTGGGTGGTCTCTGGGGCCGCACAGCCTGGGGAGGCCCGGGTGTGCCGGGACAGTCCCTGCCCAGACAGACCCGCCGCGCCCACACTGCAGGCTCTGGCGCCGGTTCCTCCTCCTCGCTTCTCCTTGGGGTGTTTCGGGTTCGGGGATCTGCGGGTGTCTTTGTCTTACTAAATCTACAGGCCTGGTGGCCAGGTGAGCGTCTCAGACATGAATGTGTAAAACGTTGCCGTAAAACTTCACAGCTTAGTGTTCCCCAAAGTAGATGTGTGTCCCTCCCCCCCCACCCCCCCATCTTAGGTTTGTCACTCACAGGCCCTGTGGTCAGTCAGGCCAGCGCCATTTCGGCATCAGAGCTGGGAAGGCGCGCTCCGGCAGGCCCCGCGGGTCGCAGGGACGCAGGTCGCAGGGGCCCGGGTCGGCCGCGGCGTGACCGCCCCGCTGAGCTCCGGGGCGGGGGTGGACGGGGCCCCAGCACTGGCTTCAGGGCCCGCCCGTCTGTTGCAGGGCTCTCTTCACCTATGAAGGCAACAGCAACGACATCCGTGTGGCCGGCACTGGGGGTGAGTACGGCCAAGCGAGGGCCCGAGGGGGTCTGGTGGGGAGCGTGACCGTCAGGGCTCCAGCTCAGGCGGCAGTTCAGCCGTCACAGCGGGAGGAGGGGGCTCCGGTCAGTGTCGGCGACGAGGCCGACTCGGGACAGGGACCAGGCAGAACGGGGGGCTTCGGGGGTTTCCGAGTGAAAGTCAGTCCCCTTGGCATGCTCGGCCTGAGGCGCAGGGCAGGGCGGGCGAGCTGAGAGGAGCACAGGGCGCTCCCCACTCACCGGCTGGGCGGGTGGAGGAGGCGGGGCAGGCGCAGCCTCCTGCCCTGCACCCACTGTGGGCCCGGCGCGCGCAGCTGTGCACAGCCTCCGCGCACGCACGTAGTGACCTGGAGACGCTGCCCGAGTACCGGGCGGCGGGAGGTCTCCGCAGGGAGCTCGGGCCAGCCACCCAAGGTCCCGAGAATGGCGGGGTACAAGCTGTGGCACCCCGACTCCCTGTGCCCAAGGCCAGCTCACCCGGCCTGAGCCAGGCATAGCCCAGTCACCCAGTGACTGCTGGCCACCCACACGGTCCTGCTGACTTGTTGGTGGAGAGCCTGCCACCCTGGAGCGCCTTCCCCGACGGCGCTCTTTCTAGAAGGACTGCCACCGCCGCCGTCTCGAGTGTGCTGCAGCGCCCCGGGCTGCAGCAGTTGCAGAGTTCAGCATCCGAGGTCCCCGCAGTCGGGGACAGTTCAAAAGGCTGATGAGGGCAGCAGGCCCCCGCACAGGCAGGGTCAGGAGACAGTGGCCTGGCAGCCCCCCCGCACCCCCTCCCTCCCTCAGAGAGTCTGGCAGCGGAGCCCGTGCAGGACGTTCCCATCCGCCCAATGGCGCTCCGGTGGCCCCGCAGTCTGAGCAGGCGGGTGGGCAGGGGCCCTTAGGGGGGCCCGGGGCTCGGAAGCCTTGTTGCAGAGGGGCCTTCCTTTTCACGGCTGGGCGCCTGGTCTGTGGTGGAAGTGACACTGCCGTTTCACGACAGTGGCGTGGAGACTGGTGTGAGCAAAAGCTGCTGGCACAGCTCGCCGTCGGCCCTGCGTCCCACCCAGCTCACCCGTCGGCGGGTGGGCTGGCCCAGGGCCTCCTTCCGGTGCAGGCGGCAGCTTGGGCTCCCTGTCCTGGTGGACAAGGTGCCAGGTGGGCAGGGGTGCCTGGTGCCTCTGACGTTCCTGTGGCTGCTGCAGAGGGTGGCCTGGAGGAGATGGTGGAGGAACTCAACAGCGGGAAGGTGATGTACGCATTCTGCAGGGTGAAGGACCCCAACTCCGGCCTGCCCAAGTTTGTCCTCGTCAACTGGGTATGTGCACCTACGGGCTCCGGGGGCGCCCCTCCTGGGAGGCTTGAGGACGGCTCACAGCTGGTGGGTTAGTTCGCTGGGGCCTGAGGGTGCCTGGGGCCTTGGCTGCTCAGAATCCACCCTCAGAGCCCAGCATTACGCCCACAGGGTGAAGCACCCGCGGTCACCGGACGCCCGTGTCCTCATCCCCTTAGGGAGGCCGTCCTGAGGGGGCAGAGGGCTGGGGGAGAGGCCGGGAGGCTCTGCCAGTGCAGGACGGGGCAGGGCTTGGGACGAGGGGCTTCTCGGGTGCCCCCACCCCCCCCACCCCCGACTCGTAGGTGGGCCACCTGGTCCTGGGCTGTGCGGTGGCTGCTTTCTCCCTCTGGGGACACAGGGAAGCTGTGAGTCCCGGGGGGCAGGGCCGTGAGTGGCGGGCGGCGGGTCACGCAGGCTGTGCTGTGTTGCAGACGGGGGAGGGCGTGAACGACGCGAGGAAGGGCGTGTGCGCCAACCACGTCAGCACCATGGCCGGCTTCCTGAAGGTGAGGCCTGCACCGCGGGGCCTCCTCGCAGCTCCTCGGCCGGGTGCCCGGAGCAAGGGAGTGGGCCCGCGCCCCGCGCTCTGTCTGGGCCCTGGGTGTGCCTGGTGCCGCTGCCCTCTCTCGCCTGGGTGTGGCCCCGGGGGTGGGGGCGGGGCCAAGGACTGCCAGACAGTCCCTGCTGCAGCTGCTCCTGGCCAGGGCCGGCCTCCCACACGCTGTGCACACTCAGCAGGTCCTTGGGATCGGGGGGTGTCACGCCCCGAGTATCAGGTCCCGTCTGACACGTTCCCTTCTGTCTGTGCCTGTGTGTCAGCCATAAAGGGAGCCTTGTGTGGTTTCCAGGGCATTTGTCATCACGTGTCAGGTGACTGCATTCTAGGTCACTGGCAGGGAGACTCAGAACTTGGATTTCCCGTTCTTCCGGCACTTCTTCAGATCTGCCTCGGTTTCTCCATTTAGGAGCTGAAGAGGGGGTCCCGGGCTGACTGGGTGCTGAGGGACAGTGCATGCGGCCACCGGCCTGGCTCAGCAGACCAGCCTTCCGTAGAAAACACGCTTGCTCCCAGGCGTCTGTCGGGTTGAGTGGTCACTGGTTAGAAAGAAACCCTCTGGCACCTGACCGTCTGGTGTGGGGCCAGGCCACAGAATGCACCGAGGGCCCCGAGGGCCCCGTGCTCAGGCTGGCACAGGCGGGCGCATCTGCCCAGTCCCCGGCGGGGTCTCCTGAGCCTCCGCACACCGGTGCGCAGTCTGCCCTCTCCTGCAGCCGCAGCGCCTTCCCTGACGCGCGGCTCTCGCTGCAGGGGGCCCATGTGACCATCAACGCGCGGGCCGAGGAGGACGTGGAGCCTGAGTGCATCATGCAGAAGGTGGCCAGGGCCTCAGGTGCCAACTACACCTTCCACAGAGAGAGCGGCCACTTCCAGGACACGGGCCCCCAGGCTCCAGTGGTGAGTGCTGCTGGCCTGGAGGCCGGGGCCCTTCCCGGGGTCCAGACCGGCTGCCTGCTCCCCCGCCTCAGCCCCTGCCTCCCCGTGGGCTGGCTCCCGCCGCCTGGCTTCGAGCCCCAGGGCCGATCGAGGCGCAGATGGCGACTCACCACTCACGGGAGCCGGGGCTGCGTGCGGTTGGCACGGGGAGCAGCCCTCGACCCCGACCTCTGGTCTGACGGGCCGTCCTGGGGCCTGCGAAGCTGGCTGTGTGTGGCCAGGGGCTCCCTGCAGGGACAGCACATCCACCCTCAAGGCTGTGGTACCAGCGAGTCCCCCATGACCCTGGGTGGTGGTGGACAGGGCAGGCCCCCACCCGGCCCGGGCAGACACCCACAGGCCTGGTGCTGGGTGGGGCGCCGAGTCCGCTGGCACAGAGCAGGGGTCCATGGGGATGTGGCGGGTGCCTCGTGGTGGTCTGCTGTGCGGCTGGTGGGCCGGCCTCGCAGGAATGGCCCCTGGCCAGAGGCCAGCCCCCCACCTTCCCGGGCTCCACCCACAGGGCCTGGTGCAACCAGAGACCCACCTGCTCAGCGGTGTCCGCCGTGCTGTCAGCCTGTCAGCTCACGGGGCTGAGGGGCCGCTCCCACCGGGCGCCCTGCTCCCAGCTCCTGCCGACGGCCCAGCGCTGTGTCCCCTGTCCCCACAGGGCTCCGTGTACCAGAAGACCAACGCCATGTCCGAGATCAAGAGGGTCGGCAAAGACAGCTTCTGGGCCAAAGCGGAGGTGAGTGCCGCGGGCATGGTGGGTGTGGGGGGGGGGGTCGGCCAGGAGCGAGGCGAGAGTCCCCGCTGCACTGGGTGGGGGCTGAGCGACTCCCCCGCAGGAGGAGGAGGAGGAGCGGAGGGCCGCGGAGAAGCGCCGGGCGGAGCAGGAGCGGCAGCGGCTGGAGCAGGAGCTGCGGGAGCGGGAGCTGCGGGAGGCCGCCCGCCGGGAGCAGCGCTACCAGGAGCAAGGCCCGAGGTGCACCTGCAGGGAGGCGGGGCTGCCCTCGGGGGGTCGGGGGTCGGCGGGCGGAAGCTCAGCTCTGCCCTCTGCCTTCCCAGCAGGAAGTGTGAGCAGCAGGAAGTGGTTTCGAGGAGCAGAGAGGAGCAGGTGAGGCTCGGGTGCTCTGACCCTGGGGTCCTGCAGCAGCTGGGACAGGTGGGGACCTGGGTCACACAGGGGTGCATCAGAGGTGGCCTTGGAGAGGGGCATGAAGGACGAATTCCCAGTGTGGCCCTCAGCCCAGTCCTGGGAGGCCTGTGAGCCCCCACCGCTGTGGGGCCAGGCAGGCTGTGGGCCCCAGGGTTCCCGCCCACGTGGGGCCTGTGTGTGATCCCCAGGAGCCTGGCCAGCAGTCAGCTCACCCACGGGAGATTTTCAAGCAGAAGGAGAGAGCCTTGTCCACCACAGCTGCCTCCAGCCCCCAGCCAGGTGAGACGCTCTCTCTGCCCCACTGAGAATCATGAGGTGGTGACAGGGACGAATGAGCCAGGAGCTGGTACTCCTGAGACCAGCTTTTGGGAGGTGACCCAGGCGTCCCCTTCCTGCCCCTGACCTTGTCCTGTAGAGACCTGGTGGGAAGGACTGGAGACCCCACAGCCCTGATCCCATGAGCCCCTGTCCAGCTCCTACTGGGCGGTCAGCTGGGTCTTGGGGCCACCATCACTCACCTCCCTGGCCCTGAAAGGGCACGGGACCAGTCCTGCAGGCCAGCACCCCGCTGCACGTGCCCCAGAGGGGCTGCTGAGAGCGTGAAGGGGTGTGTGCTGTCCCCGAGCACTGCCTCTGTGCAGCCACTGTCCTAGCAGGGCCTGCCCTCCGAGCAGGGCGCAGAGAAGGCAGGGGCTGCCTGGTCTTCCGCCTCCTGCTGGGAGATGACCCGTCCCTGTCGGTTTGCAGGCAAACTGAGGAGCCCCTTCCTGCAGAAGCAGCTCACCCAGCCAGAGAGCCCCCTCGGCAGGGAGTCAACTCACACCGCCTCAAGGCCCAGGGCAGGCAAGGCTCTCGGCCGCTCCGTGGGGGCCGGGGGAGGTGCGGGGCGGGGGGGGGGGCGGTCCTCTCCCCTCCCCAGGGCCAGAGCCAATGGCATCCTCCCGTGCAGGTCTCCGTGAGGAGCCGGCGCCCAGCGCCCCTGCCGGCCCGGCACAGGCGGAAGAGGAGGCTGTGTACGAGGAGCCCCCAGAGCAAGAGACCCTCTACGAGGAGCCTCCAGAGCAAGAGACCCTCTACGAGGAGCCCCCAATGGTGAGTGCCCTGCGGCAGGGCCGAGCTTGAGGGCCTGTGCCCCCACACGGCCTCCTGGGCCTCCCCTGTGAGGCCCACTCCCTCCGGGTTGTCTGGGGCTGCTTGTGCGACAAGACGTGTGGCGAGTGCTGTCATTTTGGGGGGGACCCCAACCCCACGTGCTGTGCCCTCCCTGCCAACCTGACCGGAGCCCTGCCAGGGGTGGGCCGAGGGAACCAGGACCCGACTTCTTCTCCGTCCGTCCGTGCCAGGTGCAGCAGCCAGATGCCAGCTCCGTGCACGTGGGCCACTACCCGGGGCCCAGCGGGAAGGGGCTCTGTGCCCGGGCCCTGTATGACTACCAAGCAGGTAACGTGCCCCCGAGACCACAGGGCCTAGGACAGGAGCTGGTTCTCGGGTCCTGGGGGGCTGCCCCAGGGGTGTCAGAAGACGGGAAGAAGAGAGGGGGGTTGGGTGGGCACCCTGCGCAGCCCGGCCTCTCTGTGGGGCCCCGGGCAGGTCCTTGCTGCCCACAGCGTCAGCTGTTGCCAGCCTAGTTGTAGAGCCTGCAGGAGGGAGCACAGAGGCGGCTCTGGGTGGTGGCCGCAGGGCGCAGGCTGACGCCGGGAGGGAAGTACTGTCTCCAGCCTCTGGCTGGAGCGCAAGCCCAGAGCCAGACCCTGCGGGAAGGTGTGCTGGGGGAAAGGCCACTGGGGCGGCTTCGGGACAGGCTGGGCTGGTGCTGGGGCCGCCGGGGCCCCGAGCTCCCAGTGCAGCGATGGGGCTCACCCTCCTTGCAGCTGACGAGACCGAGATCTCCTTTGACCCTGAGAACCTCATCACGGGCATCGAGGTGATTGACGAAGGCTGGTGGCGCGGCTACGGGCCCGACGGCCACTTTGGCATGTTTCCCGCCAACTACGTGGAGCTCATTGAGTGAAGGCCTGCCTCCCCCGCGCCCGCGGCGCCTCGTGGCTGGAGGGGCAGCGCGACGGCTGCGCACAGCGCCCTTCCAGGAACGGGCCTCGGGCAGCGGCAGCCTGGGCACCCCACACATGCTTCCCTCAGCCCCAGCCGGCAGGGCGCCGGCCTTTCTCCTGCTCCTCGCAGCCACCACCGTCGGACCTGGGGACTGCCGACTCAGCGGCCTATGAGCAGAGTCGGGGTCAGGCGTGGCGGCTCGGGCTGCAGGAGCCGGTCTTCCTGAGCCCTGCTCGGTGCTCCGGCTGCTCTGTCGCTCCGCGTGGGCTGTGGGCTGTGTGTGGCGGGACGCGGACGACCGGCCCCTGTCTGGGTGTGGAAGCACTCTGGCCTGCCGTCTCCCCCAGGCCCCGGCCCACCACCGCGCTTGGCTCAGAACCGCCTCACATGGGCCCCAGCTCTGATACACCCTGTGGTAGCCTGACAGACCCGTGGGGAACAAGCCCTTCCCGGTGTCTGGTGTGTGTGTGTGTGAGTGTGTGTGCGAGTGTGCAAGTACGCACCACCCCGGCCTGGCCAGCTGCAGTCGCCTGGGAGAGGCATAAAGATTCGGATGTGAGTGAAGTGAGCCTCCTGCACTTAGTTCTCTGGGGGGCCGAGGGCTCCGAGTGCTCCCTCCTGCAGGGGGGCAGCCGAGGACAACCCCCCGAAAGGCGGTGGGTTCCTGGCTGCTGTGCTTGCTCACTGTGAGGACAGCTCAATCACTGGGACTCGACCCCAGCGACCCCAGGCACCTGATTCTAGAGCAAGGTCACCGAGTGGGTCTTGGGCTTTGGGGGTCACCATAGGGACTCGTCAGGAGCCACCTGATAGCCAGGGACACAGCACCTGTGGCCTGGGAAGCCAGCCCCAATGCGCACTGGGCGTGCAGGCCACGCTGGACTCAGGTGGGGGGGGGTGCCTTTATTGCCGTAGCCCACTCATCACTTGGCCTTGCCCTGGGCGGCCACGGCCGCCATGGCCTGGCGGACAGTCTCCTCATCACCCAGGAACCGCATGGGCTTGGTGGGCTTCAGGGCCTGGTCCAGCTCGTAGACGATGGGGATCCCCGTGGGCAGGTTCAGCTCCATGATGGCCTGGTCGGACATCCCTGCACCGGAGAAACCACGGACCCTCAGCCCCTCCTGGTCCGGCCACCAGGCAGCGGCTGCTGTGGGTTCAGCAGGCTCCATGACCTTTCCAAGCCACGGCTGCTCAGCCAGACGCAGCCCTCCCTCCCCAGCAGCTGGGCGGAGAAATGCGCCTGCAGAAGGTCAGGGTGGAGCCGAGGCCTCGGGTAACAGAAATAGCTGCCCAAACTGGGGGCTGCTGTGACCTGGGGCGGTGTCATGGGCCAGGGCCCAGCGTGACCTCTGGCCAGATGGAGGGTGTCAGGGCTCAGACAGGGTGCTAGCCATTCGGTTCCCAGGGGTGCTGAGCTGGGGCACCCTGAGCAGAGGAACAAGGGTGCTCTTAAGAAGTGGGGTGGGTGAGGGGACAGCAGGGTGGACAGGGGGCTCTGCCAAGTGGGAAGCACTGTGTTTTCTGAGGAAACTCGACCCACCAGCCTCCTGCAGTCCCCGGCCTGGAATAGCTCGCCCTTTGGTATTTTCGCCGCCCCAAGCGAGGAGGCGAGTTCCCTGGGCAGTGGGAGCCCTCAGGCGTGTTCCCAGTGTGCTGAGGGGCACATGGGCTGCAGGAACCCCAGGAAGGGGGATGGAATGTGGCCTGTCCACCCGCTGGGTCCAGCGCCTGCTGTGAGGTGTCTGTGTGGACCTGGCATCTTGGGGAGGACAGGTGGGCTGGCCAGGCCTCGGGGGGCCTGCCTGTCTGCTCTGGCCAGCTGCCCATCAACCTGCAGGGGCAGGAGCTGTGGGGCGGGCCTCTGCCTTCCCGCTCTCCCTGACCCCACAAGCTTGAAGGCCACTCAGATGCTGACAGACTCTCCTGCTGCCTGAAAGCCCTGAGGCCCACACCCTGCCCCTGCCCGGCTACAGGCCAGGGTCCCCAGGCCACCGTCCACCCTGTGTCCTTTTGAGTGGTCTTCCCTCTGCCTGGAGGGGTGAAGCTGGGGGCAGGCCCCTGCCCTGGCCCCCCTTCCAGCAGCCAGGCGAACCAGGAGTTGCCTCAGAGGGTGGTCCCGAAAGTGAAGTGACGACCAGGGACACAGAGCAACGCAGGACTGGGAGTCAGCCGGCCCGACCTTTTCCTGGCTGGGTGGACTTGGCCAGGCACCACTCCCTGCGTCCCCACCTCCTGCCCAGGGCTCCCCTCCAGGGAGCTGGGCCGGCCCCGTCCTGTGCCTCGGGCCCTGTGCTCGAGGCTCGAAAACACCTGAAGACGGGTGTTTTCACCCGTCTTCAGAAGGAGACTCCAGAGTGTCCCGGGACACGCGTGGAAATGAAACCCGGATTCTGCAAAGCCGTGTCTCAAACGGTTTCCCAGCCCTCCCAGTTCAGTTGTTGGAAAACCCACCCAGCACTGGTGTCGGCCGTGCCGCCTCAGCCAGGCGGTGGGTGCTGGCAGAGACGAGGAGCGGACAGGCCCCGTGCTCCCGTCGCCCCGCCCCCCCGCACCCACAGCCCCCCTGGGGCGACCTCACCTTCCAGGTGCTTGACGATGCCCCGCAGGCTGTTCCCGTGGGCTGCGATGAGCACTCTCTTGCCGGCCTTGATCTGGGGGGTGATCTCCTCGTTCCAGAAGGGCAGGGCCCGGGCGATGGTGTCCTTGAGGCTCTCGCAGGTGGGCAGCTCCCCGGGCTTCAGGCCAGCATACCGCCGCTCCTGGGGGCACCCGCAGGTCACACCCCAGACAGGCCCCGGCCCCCCTCCGGCCCCTGCCCCCAGGCCTTCCCCGGCCCCCCGCACTGCCCACCTTGCTGATGGCGTTGTAGTAGGGGTGCTTCTCGTCCATGGGGGGGGGCGGGATGTCGAAAGAGCGCCGCCAGATCTTCACCTGCTCCTCCCCGTGCTTGGCCGCCGTCTCTGCCTTGTTGAGGCCCGTCAGGCCCCCGTAGTGCCGCTCGTTGAGGCGCCAGGTGCGCACCACGGGCAGCCACATCTGGTCGGTGCCGTCCAGGATCGTCCAGAGGGTGCGGATGGCCCGCTTCAGCACTGACGTGTAGCAGATGTCGAACTCCATCTTGGCTTCCTTGATGGCCTGGGCCCCCCTCCGGGCCTCCTGGGCCCCCTTCTCACTCAGCTCCGCGTCGAACCAGCCGCAGAAGCGGTTCTCCTGGTTCCAGGTGCTCTCGCCGTGCCGGACCATCACGAGGCGGTGAGTGGACATGGCTGCGGTGGCGGGGACGGTGGCAGGCTCCGGACGAGGGCAGCTGCCTGCCCCCGTGCCACCAGCTTATAACAGTCCGCCCCAGCCCCCACCCTGGCCAACTGCCAGTCGACATTCCAGGCTCAGGCCCGACGGGCAGCGGCAGGTGGCCAGTAGCAAAGCCTCCCGGGGAGGATGGGCTGAGAGCTGGACTTAAAATAGTCTCAGAGCCACCAGAGCCCAGGCTGTGGTGTTGCCAGGCAAGGCTGGGCAGGAAGGGCAGACACCCTGGTCTCGCTGAGCCCAAGAGGTGGGTGTTAGCAGAGACAGAGGGCTCTCGAGGGAAAGGCTCCCCAAGGGTGGGACTCCAGCCCCATCAACCCTCCTCCCAGGGGGCCTGGTGTGCTGATGCTGGTTTTCTCATCACTCAGCTCAGCCGGGGACAAGCCTGCATGTCCACAAGGAGACACCTGGGGTCCAGGGATGTGTGTGCACATGTGTGTCTGAGCACCTGTATCTGTGCCTGTGTGTGTGCACATGCCTGTGTGTGGATAGGCATGTGTGTGTGTGTGTGTGTGACATGCATGACTCTCCCTGTGGCTCCGCTCTGCTCACCCGAGAGTGGGGGCTACATATGGGGCAGGGGCTCCCTCAGGAGTCTGGCCCCTCCCCTGGCCCTGTGTGGTGGCCCTGTGCCCAGCTCCACCCACAGGAGCCCTGCGGGGGCCAGTGGCCAGCAGCTGGGCTCTGAGGGGCTGCAACAGCATCTCCCTGGTCCACTCGGGACGGGGGAGCCACTGGGGGCTGCAGCCCTGAGGAGAGATGTGGCCTTGCAGGAGGGCAGCAAGCGGCAGTGTGAGCAAGGGGTTGAGGCCAAGCTGGGCAGAGTGTTGTCAGGACACCCAGGGAGCTGGAAGCCTGGCTTCCAGGGCCAGAGGGGAGCAGGGGTCCCCTCTCCGCTCTTGGGCGCCTTTGTCGAGGCCTCGTTATCATCTGCCCCACTCCCCCACCCTACCTGCCTTCACCCAAGCTGGGCTCGCCTCTTCCAGTTGAAACTGTCTTTAGAGGGAAAAAGAAATCCAAGATTTGTGCCCCTGAGGGGCCTCCAGCATCAGAAGGGCCGGCTGCCAGGTGCGTGCCCACCTTAGCACACAGACAGACCGAGGCTGGGGCCAGGCCCGAGGCTTCTGCGTTCAGTTTTGGGGCACATGGGCCACTGGGGCAGGGGTTGTGAGGACACCAAGTCACAGATGCACCCTCCTCCCAGCCCACTGCCCCAGTGGCCACACCCACCCCCTACGAGGAGGCCAGCAAGGGGTTGGCTGCTACCTCGAGACTGGGCCCTGAGCACGAACATGCCTCCTCCTGCACGCTGCCCACCCAGACCCAGCCCTGTGGGCAGGGTCACACGGAGCCCACCAAGACATGATTGTATTTAATACAACGTACGCCAGGCTTCCACAATACGAAAATCAACTGTATACCTACCCACCACCAATGAACAATCAGAAGATAAAATTAACAAAATTCTACTTTAATAACATCAAAAGAAAAATGTAATTAGGAATAAATTTAACAGAGATGCAAAACTTACATTCTGAAAACGGTGAAACATCAGCAAAACTAAAGGAGATGCAAATGGGTGGAAAGGCACCTGGGTCACAGACCCCCTGAGGGGCAGCGCCCCTCGACTGCTCTGCAGACTCAGCTCAGCCTGCACCCACGTCCCACATGACGCCCCTGCTCACCGGCGGGTACGGGGCAGACCAGCCAGCCCCACCCAGCAGGGCTTTCAGGGGACAGCCTGGTGCTCCGCGGGCTCACCCCACTGTGTCCCGGCGGGCTGTGTGTGAGGGAGGCGGGTGAGGCCCCCACATGGGGGGCTCCACACGGGAGGGTAAGGGCTGGGGCAGTGTCCTGGGCCTGCAGATGGCCAGTGGCCCAGGGCATCTATGGGCCTGGCTGGCCACAGGGCCCCCTTTCCCAGAATGTCACAGGGCCGGCCGAGGGGCTCAGGCATTTCTCTGCTCTGGGGGAAGGTACGCAAGGCCCAGGTGCCTGAAGATGTCTTCCTCTGCAGCCGCACGGAAAAGTGCCTTCTGCAACGGGAGGGTGGGCCTTGGTGTCTGGGACCCCTCAGCCACGGCGGCTTCCCTGAGAAAGGCTCGGAAAGCCCTCCCCGGGTGGGGTGCCCCTCAGGGCCCTGTCTGTGGGTCCCAGGCTCCCTCACCTCCTGCCCTGGCAACACACCTGCTCGGGGTCAAACAGCCCGTGGCTGTTCAGGCACAGCCCCCTCTCCTTCCGGCTGAATTGGCGAAGCTCCCGCTCAAAATGCTGGGGAAAGCAGCAGGGCGTCAGCAGGGCTGCGGCCTGGGCCCAGACGGCCCCAGCAGCTCGCCGCCTACCTTGGAGCCGGTCCAGCCCAGCAGGGCAAAGGGGAACTGGCTGATGGGAGCCACCACCAGGTCCACGCGCACGGCCTTCCAGGTAGACCCTGGGGGTCTCGGCAGGCGGAAAATGCAGAAACTCCGCTCAAAGGTGTCCATGGTGTGACTCCTCTGGGTCAGGTGGGTGGGGTCTCTGCTGTGGCTGAGCTGGTGCTGCTGGTACAGGACAAGGCCCTGCGGAGGGGGGTGGGCATGATGGGCACTGCCCAAGCCCTGGGAGGGCGGGACCCAGCAGCACCCTCAGGAGGGGCAGCCCTCACCTGTCGCTGCAGGGAGCACATCACTCTGGGCAGCAGCCCCGCCTCCTGGCCCTCCTGGGGGTGGGTGATGAGCAAGTCCACGTCGTGGCCCTGCAACTTCCCCCTGAGGGGCAGGTCTGACTTCCGGGCTGGCCCAGGCCCCTCAGAGCAGGGAGGCCCACCGCAGCAGCCCACCTGGGAGCCGAGCCAGAGCGCACCTCAGGCCCCTTACCTCCGGAAGCCACCAGCCAGCGTGACGGTGGCCCCAGGAAGGGCCTGCACCACGACTGTCTCCACCACCTGCTGCAGGGCCTCCGCGTCAGGCCGCTGGACCGGCGTGCTCAGGTCCCGGTGGTGCCGGAGTCCTGCAGGCAGCACGAACCTCCTGACCAGCCCACCCGCCCTGACTTTCTCTCCACGACCCCCCCCTCCTCTTAAATGTCGGTCCTTGGTCCAGCGATAACTGTGGGTTGCTGTGTGGCTGAGAGAGACAACAGAGGTTCCTGTGCCCTCCAGCCAGCTGCCCCCACGGAAGTCCTGAGACTGCCGAGCCAGAGCCTGCCAACGCCCCGTCCTCCCAGCGGTGCAGTGGGGCCGGAAGCAGATGGAGGACACAAGGAAGCCGGCTCCCCCGGTGCGGGGAGAAGCACCACTTTGGCCTGCGCCTTCGGCCGCCTCTGTCAGGGATCGCTGCCCCTCCACCCACAGCGGGAGGGCTTCGAGTGCGGGGTGGCAGCTGCTGGCAGCCACAGTGAGCACTGCTGGCTGTTCCGGCTGTGCCGTGTCATGGGACCAGCTGGTGTCAGCCTGTGACACTCTGCTGGACACGGCTCTGTGGGTCTCACTTCCTGCCGACCAACCAGGCGAGTCTCCTGGGCCCTGGGGAGGTGCCCCTCCTCCAGCCCCCGAGAGGATGTTGGAAGAGGTGGGGGGCTGGGCCATGGGGCTCATCCAGCAGGGCTCCCACCCACCCCAGCCTGAACTCTGCTGAACTCTCCTTAACGCCTGTGCCCTGCTGGCTCCCAGAGGCGTGGGCAGGCTCCCGCCCCTCACAGAGAACCTCAGGGAGGTGGGACTCAAGCCCAGGCCCAGCTGACTCTCAAGGTCCTGTCCTTCCTACCTCAGGGGTCCCCGCACCATCAGCCGGCAGCCAGAACACTGAGCACATGCTGTTCAGGAGTAGGAGGCCCAGGCCTGGTCCAGTCCGAGTCTACCCAGGAGGCCCTGATGTCACAGTAGTGGCTGTGACCACCACCGTTCACTGAGATAGGGCTGCCATGGACCCTGACTGCAGCTGGTGGGGACCCCGGGAAGCCCCCCCAGATGCCGCCTCCCACCGGGTCGCTCTGCCCCGACGCCCCCCGAGGCAGCCTCAGCACTGGGTGTGGGAAACGCACAGACCCGAGTGCTCTCCGGGGGCCCCGAGGTGCGGCCTCCCTGAGGGTCACCTGCTTTCTGCTGCTCCGTCAGTCTCGGCACCCGGCTCTGAACGTCATCCAGTGTCCGCAGCCCCTCCCGGTACCAGCGGTCAGCAGTCCGCACTCCGACCCCAAAGATCTGGGTGAACAGCTGCTGGGAGGGTGGGCACAGCCTGGTCAGGCCCTGGCCCCCCAGGAGAGGTCCCCCCAGCACATGTGCAGCCGTCACCTCCAGCAGCGACCTGACCGCATGTCCTGCCCTTCACAGATGCAAACACGATGGGCTGGAGGGCACGCAGGCCTGGGCAACCCCCACACAGCTCACCTCCCTGCCCAGCCATCGGTCAGTGCACAGACACCAGGAGAGGGGGCGGGCAGTGGCCCTCCTGGAGCCGACCCCTCCCAGGGTGACTGCCTTCTCCCACAAGTCCCCCTGTCAGAGGCAGTAAAGTGTGGCAGGAGCACCTTTGGGGGCCAGGCCGGGCTGGTGGGGGCAGCGGCAGCAGAGGAGGTACCCGAGCCCGGCTTTCTGCAGACCAGACCCACTGCAGCCCATCCCCCGGGCTGTGCAGAACCCCCCTTCATCCCCGTATCCCCTTAGCCAACAGCATGGGCTGGGTCACCGTCACCAACAGAGTCCTCCCAGAAAAAGTGCAGAGAAGAGGCCAGTCACATTGTTATAAATGTTAGTCATTGCTAACGTACTTCCCTGCAGCCTTGGATGCCTCCCGGGACACGGGGTGCCCAGGAGGGGGAGGTGGAGGGCTCCGCCCTCTGTCCATGCTTCCCCACCCACCAGCTCCTCGGTTGCCCCCACACCCCATTCACCGCCTACCTGAGCCCCGCCATCCTTCACACACGCCCCCCCCGACCCCCTATCCCCACAGCATCGGGCAAACCCCCAGGGAAGCCCCACGCCCCGCAGGTCACCCATCTGAGGACCTCCAGCACAGAAGTGGGCGTCACAGCCGCAGGACGGGGCACTGGGGCACCAGCAGCTCCGCCTCAGACCCGAGGGGAGGGGGCAGAGGAGGGGCGTGCCGTGGATGTGGGTGTGGCGACCCAGCGACATCAGAGCATGAGGTCAGGGGGCCGGGACAGTGCCCCGCGAGCAGCCCACACTCAGTCGTCCCTGCGGCGTGTCTGCCAGGCGCCTGCTCGAGGTGGCAGGACAGCTGACGCTGCAGGCCGTTCCATCAACAGCCCAGCAAGGACAGTAGAGCCAAGTGATCTAGAACATTCCTGTGCTCGAAACAAGTTTCTCCTCGTGGTCTGCTTGGCTGCCTCGTACACATCAGACTTCCTGAGACCACCTGACCCCCGGCAGTTCCTTCTGGGGGGCAACTCAGGTCTGTGAGCCCCGCTGGGGTCCGCCCCGTGCATACCTTCATGCTCCGGTACCTCTCTGAGCGCCGGACTCTCTCCACCTCCTCACACACTCCGTGCTCCAGCAGCTCCTGTGGCCGAGATGAAGCAAAGCCCAGCCTGACTGCAGAGCAGAGATGGGGCGGAGGACTGGCCGACCCCACCCTCAGCAGGGGGCTCTGTGCCGTCAGAAGTGAGGGACTTGGAAACGGAGATTGTGCCCCAAAGCTTCTGGCCTCGTCTCGCAGGTAAGTCCCAGTATATGTAAACAATTCCTTTTCAAAACATAGGTGATGGACTTCCGGCCAAGATGAAGGTGTAGGTAGACACACTGTGCCTCCTCGCACAACCGAAAGAAGGACAACAATTCAGAAACAACAAACAACCAGACACTGAAATAGAGTACAGGCTGACAGTGACCAGAGGGGAGAGGGGAGGGAATTTCAGGGGGAAAGGGGAAGGGTTTACAGCAACAAGTACAAAGGACACACGGACAAAAACTAGGGGCACGTGGAAATGGGAGGGAGGTGGGGAGGGCTGGGGGGTGGGCACGGATGGGAGTATAAGACAGAAAACTGTACTTGAACAATAATTAAAACAAAATTAAATTAAATTTTAAAAAGAACACAACCAGAACTGACAGAAACTGTATAGAAGTCTGACAACCAAGGAGTTAAAGAAGAAGCATCCATCCAGACCAGTAGGAGGGGCGCAGCTGGGCAGCTGGGCAGAGAGGACTCGCAGCGAAGTGGCTGTGGAGGACCAGGGCGGGCAAGGCGGCGGCTGGTGGAGCCTGCAGTCCCACACTCACGTGCGGATAAACCGGGAGGAACACCTGGAAAGCAAGACAGACCGAGCACCCGGGGTCCCAGCCGGGAAATAAAGCCTCAAACTGCTGATTGAAAACACCTGTGGGGGCTGACGCAGCGGGAGAAATTCCCAGCCTCACAGGAGAGTTCATTGGAGAGAACCACAGGGTCCTAGAACATACACAAGCCAACCCACCTGGGAATCAGCACCAGAAGGGCCCACTGTGCTTGTGGGAAGTGGGGGAAATGACAGAAATCCAGCAGAGAGAGGACCAAGCGCCATTGTTCCCTCTAGGACCCCTCCTCCACATATAGCGTCACAACACAGCATGGGTTGCCTCACCCTGGTGAACACCTAACACTCCGCCCCTTTTACATAGCAGGTGTCCTGAGACCAAACACAAACACACACTAAGTATGGCCCAAATGAAAGAACAGATCAAAGCTCTGGAAAAAGTACAACTAAGCGACAAAGAGATAGCCAACCTATCAGATGCACCGGTAATCAGGATGTTCACAGGATTGGTTGAATTTGGTCGCAAATTAGATGAAAAAATGAAGGCAATGGTAAGTGAAATAAAGGAAAATGTACAGGGAACCAATAGTGGTGGGAAGGAAACTGGGATTCTAATAAATGGTGTGGGCCAGAAGGAAGAAATAAACATTCAACCAGAAAAGAATGAAGAAGCAAGAATTCAGAAAAATGAGGAGAGGCTAAGGAACCCTGGGACAACTTTAAACGTTCCAACATCCGAATTATAGGGGTGCCAGAAGGAGAAGAGGAAGAGCAACAAGTGGAAAACTTATTTGAACAAATAATGAAGAAGAACTTCCCCAATCTGGCAAAGGAAATAGACTTCCAGGAAGTTCAGGAACCTCAGAGAGTCCCAAAGAAGTTGGCCCCAAGGAGAAACACACCAGGGCACATCATCATTACATTACTCAAGATTAAAAATAATGAGAGAACTCTAGAAGCATCAAGAGAAAAGGAGAGAGTTACCTACGAAGGAGTTCCCATAAGACTGTCAGCTGATTTCTCAAAAGAGACCTTGCAGGCAAGAAGGGGCTGGAAAGAAGTATTCCAAGTCATGAAAGGCAAGGACCTACATCCAAGATTTCTCCATCCATCAAAACTTTCATTTAGAATATAAGAGCAGACAAAGTACTTCTCAGATAAGATCAAGTTAAAGGAGCTCAACATCACCAAGCCCTTATTATATGAAATGTTAAAGGAATTTATCTAAGAAGGAGATAAAATATATGAACAGTAAAATGACAGCAAACTCACAGTTATTAACAACCACACCTAAAACAAAAACAAACACAAAGGCAAACTCAGCAAACAACTAGAACAGGAACAGACCCACAGAAATGGAGATCACATGGAGGGTTATCAACAGGGAAGTGGGAGGGGGAGAGAGTGGGAAAAGGTACAGAGAATAAGTAGCATAGATGGTAGGTAGAAAATAGACAGGGGGAGGTTAAGAATAGTCTAGGAAATGTAGAAGCCAAAGAACTCCATGTGTGACCCATGGACATGAATTAAAAGGGAGGAATGTGGGTGGAAGGGGTGTGAAGGATGGAGGGGAATAAAGGGGGGGAATGGGACAACTCTAATAGCATAATCAAAAATTAGATTAAAACATAGGTGATGTATTCAATGCAACTTCCTTTAAACACATAACTGAGTTCAAAAGTCTTTTGTTATGATGTCCTGTCCCAGTGACATGGACAAAACCCCAACTTTCCTCAAATATTCTGCACTTAAAACACATGCCCAGCTTGGCTTCTCTGCCGCATCCCAGGCAGTCTGGGAGGACACCAGCAAGACCAGCTACCAGCCTGCAGCTGGAGTCCTCTCAGCCCCGCTGGAGCAAGTGGTGCGACCCTAACTTACCTGTGGTGTCTGGGTACAGGGAGGCTTGTCCCCGCCTGGGATCCTGCGACCTCCTCCCCAGCCGGGCTGAATCACAGAGCCACCTACGGTCACTGGGGCCCGGCTCCTGGACACCCACTCGGGTTCACAAGTCTGCCTTGATGGGGATGGGGAGCACCTACCTGGATGACCCTGCGGGAATGTTCTCCAAAGCCGGGCAGTCCCTGAAGCTGGCTCAGGGCTGTGACCTGGCAGGGCAGCGCCTTGAGCACAGAGGCCGCTCTGCAGAAGGCAAGGAGGCAGCCCTCCCTGCCCTCGAAGCCTGCTGCCTCTGCCAGCACCTCCAGAGCCTCCTGCAGGGAGGGGCCATTGTGAATCGTGACAGCAGGGCTGGTGGGAGCCTCACCCATCCCTCCAGCTCCAACCCCTCTGCCCTAAAGCCGGGACACAACAGGGCAGGGCAGGGCAGGGCGGGGTGGGGAGTGCTCACAGGAGCAGGCGGGACCACGGCTCACCGAGAGGCTGGTGTTGTGGTGTGTGAGGGGGGTGGGGCGCTGGCAGGCATAGGGTGGCATCCTCACTGGGCTGGGCAGCCCCTTCCTGGGCACAGCCACCTAGGGACAGGCAATGAACAGACCGCTTTGAGGTGCGGGGCTTGCAGCCCCCGAGCCTCGCCTCTCCTGGGCAGCCACCTGGGGCTCTCCGGCACACAGGACAGGAGGAGCCGACTCTGATGGGACAGCACTACCAGAGGCCTGGTCAAAGGCAGCGCTGCCCTACAGAGCAAGCTGATGATGACCCTTCAGGCCAGAGGGGCAGTAATGACACCACCTGCCACCCTCACGGGGCACTTTTCCTGCAGAGGCACATGCCGCATGTGCCCCACTGCCATGCCCCCTCAGACAGGAACACTGAGGCCGCATGGCTCACAGGCCAGGCCAGGAGCCCTTGCCTGCCTCCCCTGCTTGGCTCACCCAGGATCCATGGGGGCAGGAAGAGGCCTCCCGCTGGCCCTCGGGTCATCGCACTTAGGGGTCACAGTCATGTGCTTGGTGAACAAGACAAGCCTACCTAAAGAGGTTAAGAACAAGTGGACCCAAGGGCGTCTGCGGCAACAGTGAGAGCAGGAGGTGGATGGCCTGGCCTGGCCGTCGGGGCGGAGACCTCTCTGCCAGCCTCCTCTGGACCCTGCCCCCTGCACCAGGCCTTCCTCTGTGGACCTATGCTCCTCCGCTGCCCAGCTCACCTCCAGGCAGTGCCGGCCCTCCACAGGGACGGGCTGCCCAGCTGCCATGCTCTCTGTGAACCAGCTGACGTCCAGCAGCGCTGGGCCGGCACAGCCTGGGGCAGGGGCCGCCCTGCTCTCCTGCCAGCAGATGGCCTCCTGGGCTGAAGTCTGCTCCATCACCACATGTGTCACTGCGGAGCTGGGCAGAGGGAAGGGAGGGTGAGGCCTGGAGCCTTGCCCAGTGGGCCTGCCCTCCTCTTTGCCTCACTCCACTCGTGCGGGCCTTCGCTCTGCCTGGTGCACACCGTTCAGTCTTCACCTTCTCAGAGACCTGCCAGCCCCTTCTCCTGGCGGCCCTCGTTGCCCGGCCGCGAGCTGCCGCACGAAACGCACCTGTAGGCGTCCAGCACGTGGAAGCCCTTGGACCGCGCCAGGCGGGTGAGGAAGGCCCGGCGGCTGCGGCCCATGCGCGGTTCCACCAGGTAGATGGTGACGCCGGGGAAGCGCACTTCGGAGAAGTTGCTGGGGCCCTCGACCAGTGCCCGCCGCCTTCTGGGGAGCATCGTGCCTAAGCCTCCGGCGGCGCCGGCAGAAGGCAGACGGAAGGTGGCAGGGCCGAAGGAAGGCGGAAAGAAGGTGGAAGGAAGGCGGAAAGAACGCGCGCGGAAAGGGGAAGGGGAAGTAGCCCGGGGCTTCACGCCCGGAGGCAAGCCCCGCCCCATGCAAATAAGGGCTTTGTGGAGTCTCACGGGATTGGGTGTCCTGGTCGCTCAGCGCCAGAAGCCCTGCCTCTATGCAAATAGATCCAGAGGACGCGCCTTCTATTTAAATTACTCTCTGGGAAGGCGCGTGGGTTCCCGGACACCCCCCCCCCACCACCACCCCGGAAGGAGAGAACTGGCGGGGGTCCTGGGTGGGCGGTCAGGGGCCGGTCCCCGGCGGGCCTGCGGGGGGCGGGGCTAACGGTTTGACCAGGGCCGAACCGCTGGCTGCAGAGACCTGGCGGCGGGGATCCCAGGACAGCCAGCGGGCAGACGCCGGAGCCTGGAACGTGCTGGTACCGCGGCTGCTTCCAACTGGGAAGGTTTTCAGTTGATCGGCGTTGGAACAGCTGGCCCACCATCTGGAAAAATAGAAGCCGGTTCCCTCGGCCCCCTCCCTCACTCCTTGACACCAAAATAAAATCCAGATGGGTCAAACCTTGAAATCTGAAAAAGAAACAGAACGTACTGGGAAGGCGATGAATGTTTGTATAGTCTAAGTATTACAATAAACCAGAAACACTGAAGGACAAGAATGATAGATAAACTTGACTACACACAAATTTAAAATGTAGTCAAGGAGCCGTGGCTGGTGTGGCTCAGCGGATTGAGCGCCGGCTTGTGAACCAAAGGGTCACTGGTTTGATTCCCAGGCAGGGCCAATGCCTGGGTTGCCAGCCGGGTCCCCAGTAGGGGGTGCGAGAGAGGCAGCCACACATTGATGTTTCCCTCCCTTCCCGTCTCTAAAAATAAAATCCTTTAAAACAAAGTAAAATATTTAATATTCAAAAATTAAAATTAAGCATCAGAGGGAAAAGTGACACATTTTGAAGTTAAGTCTAATTCATGTAATTAAGAAATTATCAGATAAATAAGGAAAAGGCAACAATCTATTGGAAAGATTGGCAGGAGAAACAATGGGCAATTCACAGAAGACACATAGCTCATAAACTTATGCCATGTGTCCCAACTTGTCTAATCATTACAGAAGTGCAAATACAAGTGAGACTTCTCCGCCTGTTGCACTGTCAAACATTTAAAAAACTGATCACACTTGTTGAAGGTGCGAGGGAATTGGCAATTTGTAGGAAGGACTTTTTGGAAACCAGTTTGGCAACCATACCCAATGAAACCAAAAATCGTACCCAGCAATTCCTTTTCCAAAGTTGGGAGCGCTGATGTCTGAGAACTACTGAATATCTCCCTCATTCTGAGGCCCTGCATTTGGAATTTATCTCAGCAAGGTAGCCGTGCTCAAACAGGTGGGACAGCCAGGTGTGGCTGCTGTCCCAGTCCTCTCTTCCATCACCCCATGTGTGGTGGGCCCAGGACTCAGCCCCCCACACCAGCCCCCAGCCTGCCCTCCGGGGACCCAGGATACACTCCAGGATACCAGAATTGTGACTTCTCCCTCACTGCCCCCACCCATGTCTCCTCTTGCCTTCAGAGAAGGGGGAGCTCCCAGAGCCTCTTCCCCGTCTGTGGGTCCCACCTCTCCACGGGGAGCAGCCCCCATCCCCTGAGACCATTTTCTTCAAACACCCTCTGCCTCTGGCCAGGGCACCTGGCTTCTGTCCTGAGGTGGCAGAGGCAGCTTTTAATGGCCCATCACACCTGAGTACTTAAAACACCAGGCAACTTGCAAAACTCAGGAACACGGGGCCTTGCACAGGTGCAGGGAGGTTCTGTGAAGGGGCGGGGTGACCACCAGTGCCTGGCACCAGCAGGCAAGGCCAGGGGCATATGCTCCTCCCCTCTCCTGCCTGCACTGCCAGGTCGCTGTCCAGCCAGCTGGGAAGCAGAGAGAGACCTCAGCCCTCTATTTCTAAAAACTCTGGCTTGGGAGTCCCAGATGCCTGAGCCCCCAGCCTCCTGCTCCCTACACCGAGACCACCCCAAAAAGTCAGAGAGACAGCAGAGATGAGCTTCTGGCTGGGCCCTTCCAGTCTGCCTCCCCATCCCAGGGGTAGGAGCTTACATTTTTCCAAGATGAATCTTATCTGTTTCCTGCTCCCACTTCCAGTTCCACGAGGTCCCCAGGGGTCATTCTTAAGTCCTTGTGACCTTTGCAGAGCACTTTCTTTGAAGTTCCCTTCAGTGCCATTTCCACCTGTCCTTGCCTGTGGTGCCAGAGCTCTGCCTTGGCTCTTGGGCTGCTCCTCCAGTCAGGTTCAGTCTCCTGAGGGTTGCTTGTCAGCATTCTGGTGAGCATGCGGTCAAACCGCTGACCATGCTGGGATGAGATCCTGAGGGCCCACTGGCCCCAAGGCACCAGCCTGTAGTGCTGGCCTGGGCCTTCCTGAGCTACCCCCAGCAGCACTGGGGGTTTGGATGGCTTGCTGTCATAACAACAGAAACATTTCTCACAGTTACCTCCTAAGGCCCCATCTCCAAATGCATTGGGGGGTAGGGTTCGACATATGAATCTTGGAGGACACAAGTCAGTCCTTAGTGTCTGGTGTTTTTCTGTGCCGTGCCCACTGTAACAAACTACTGCAAATGAGGTGGCTTAAAACAACAGAAGTGAATTCTCTCCCACTTCTGGAGACCAGAGTCTAAGACTGAAGCGCTGACAAGCAGATGGGGGAGGGTGGGGGAGGGGAAGATCCTTCCTGCCTCTTCTGGCTTCTAGGGTTCTGCCACTCTTCCTGGGCTCTGGCTGCACCCCCCCCCCCAGCCTCTGTCCCACTTCCAATGGCTGCCCTCCCTCGGGATCTTCTCCACTTCGTATAGAGGCACCAACTGCAGGATGTAGGGCCCCTCCTACTTCAGGATGACCTCATCTTGGAACTCTTGATTACATATGCAAAGATTCTTATTCCGAATAAGGTCACATTCGAGGATCCACATGAACCTGAATTTTGGGGGCAGCCATTCACCCCGCTACCTTGAGTCCACAGCCCTGACTCGGGCTCGGCTCTGGACTCTGACAGACTGTGTGACCCTCACCAGGTGCGTCACCTTGTGACCTTCCCTGATCTGCAAAGACCCAGTGGTAGATAACTAAGATGCCAGTGGCGGGCAGGACATTCAGGGTAACACCTCCACTTCTGCACATGCCTGGAATTTTAATAATAACATGTTTTTACCTAATTTTTTTTTAAAGATTTTATTTATTTAGACAGAGGGGAAGGGTGGGAGAAAGAGAGATAAACATCAGTGTGTGGTGTGCCCTGACCGGGAATCGAACTGGAGACCTTTTGGTTCACAGGCTGGCACGCAATCCACTGAGCCACACCAGCCAGGGCTTAATAATAAAGTGTTTTTAAGCATGTGCACATATATGTAATGCGATCGGTGCTGTCTACCAGGCACTGTTCCAGGCACCTCACAGGTGTCCACTCATGGATGCCCAGGACACTTCTGTCAGTGGGTGACATCCTTGTTCCCATCTTGCTGGGGAGGCGATAGAGACGCAGAGAGATCAAGCAACTTGCCCGAGTTTGCACAGCTAGTGAACAGCAGTGCTGGGATCTTGTCTTGGAAAACACTGCTGTGTCCTCCTGTGCTCTCACCCAGCACCCTGACACCAGCGTGTGGGTTTCCACACCAGCCGGGTGCCCTACAGTTCAACTCCATCCCTTCACACACACTCACTTCAGGTGCCAACCTCACCTTCCGGTCATCAGCTCTGCCTCTGACTGACCAGCTATACACTGGGGTTCCTGTGACCCCTCCTTGAATTTGACCTTTGTTAGAGCGGCGCACAGGACTCTCTACTGGAGAGGTTAAGGGATTCCCTGCTACATCACCAGCCCAGTACAGAGGACGATGGAGAGATCGGAAGGGCCCCGAGCCGGGAGCTCCTGTCCCTGCAGAGGCGGCTGCGCTGCCTTCACGTGGACGTGTTTACCAGCCAGAAGGCCCCCGAGCCCTGTGGCTCAGGGGCTGTCGCGGAGGCTTCCCCACGCTGCTGCGGCCCAGCGCTAACTCCGAGTCCCCGCTGAGGATGGGGCAGGGCTGGAGGCTCCCCGCTGCTCCCGGGGGCTCGGGCTTTGTGGCGACCAGCCCCATCCAGGAGCCACCCAGAGTCGGTCATTACGACAAAACACACGCCCTTCGCCCGGGAAATCCCGAGGGTGTAAGACCTGGAAGACCAAATATCGGAGCAAAAGCGACTCCTCGTGCTCTTCCCACTTAGGGAGCCCCGTGCTGGGATGGCTGGCGGTGGGGGAGGGCGAAGACCCATGGGCGTGTGTTCCGTTATTTGCGGGCGTGACCCCGCGCGCCTGGCTCGTCACAGACTCCCTGTCCATGTGCTTCCAAAACGCCCGGAGGACTGTCTGACAAACTTACTCGTTCTCTCCGGGACGCGGTGTGGTCTGAAGTTCAATGAAACTTATCCTAAGTGTCTTATTTTGTCTTTTTTCTAATTCTTCTACGATCAGCACACGCCACTTGCATAACAAAGAACTTTGACATAAGAAGAGTGTCCCACCTGGCTGTTCAGTGGGCCCACAGCCAGGTAGGTGCTGAGCCGGGGTGGGGGTGGGAGTGGGGAAGGCAGGGGGCACTGGCGGCCCTGAGGCTTCCCAGTACCCACCCTCTCCGGCCCCTGCGGTTTCTGATGACCCACAGCTGGCAGAATTCCAGACCCTGTATCAAGCTGGCAGGACCGCCTGGCACCCAGCCCACGCAGACACGGGCCACGCACAGGTGTGCACACCTGTGGCCCTGCATGCCCACCTGTGGCCCTGCATGCCCAGGAGCATAAGCTCAGGTAGGAAGCAGCATCTACAATGGCGTCGGGTGGCCAGCAGGGGGCGCGCTCAGCCTCCGCGGCTCTCCGAACCACCGGGAAG